CGGGGCTACTGAGGCCTGGGGGCAGGGCAGGGCAGGGTCAACCTGGTTAGGTGCAGGGGCCAGCACCAGGCCCTTTGGCCTGGGGTAGGGACACTCTGACTTATGGAGGGCACATTCAGGTGGCAGCACAGGGAAGGGAGGACCATCTGAGTGGTACTCTGGCCGTTCGTCAGGGAGGATGCCGAGTGTAGGGCTGACGGGGCGCCCTGCCGAGCCCATTGGAGCCTGTCCTCATTGCCCACTGCGACCCTTGTACTTGCTCCCCAGGTTATGGACCCTGTCTGGACATGGAGGTGCTGTGCCTGTGCTGGCAGGACCTCTTCCTCCTGTATCCCCGTGGGGCTTGTGCTGTGGTAGCCAACACGAGCTTACAACCCTGGCCTCATTCCATGGGCAGAAACCTACACTCTGCACGCTGTGGCCTGGCACAGGGCATGTACACCAGAGGGACCTAACTATGGGCCCAGACAACTGCTTGTTAATCAGACCCGGCATGTGCCCTTTAGGGACTGGGTGGTGGCTGCCTGGGTGTAGGCGTTGCTCAGGACCCATCGGCTGCGCCTCCATTTTTAGACAGTGGAATGCCCTTAGCTTGGAGGCTGGGAGGACCCGAGTCCCGCTCCTGTCACCGCCATGTCTCTCGATGGGAGGGGGACCTCTCGGGGTGGAGGAGCTGGTCCTTGGCCATCATCTGGCATCTGCACAGGCGTGTCCCCTAAGTTAGATTCCGGGGCATCGGAGGCAGCGGGATGATGAGGCCAGGGTCGGTGGGAGTGTGGCTTGGCTGACAACGTGTTGGCATGTGCAAATTAGAGTTTGTAGATGACTGTTTATTCCATGGAGGTCTGGAGGTAGTTGCTGGCTCTGCTGTCAGTTCGGGTTCACTATTGCTGTGGTCTGTTTGGAAGCTGCCTGCCCGGTGGTGGTGGCCTTCTCACAGCTTAGGGATGGTCTTGGGGCCGAGGTCCCTGGATGAGGTGCTCTCGGAGGGCGCAGGAAGAAGGGGGTAAAGGCCCCCATCTTTTCTGTCATTTTCCCCAGTCCTGGCAGGTGGTCCCTGTTGGCTTGCCTTTGCTGCTGATCCTGGCGTCCCCCAGGGTCCTTCCAGAGGAGAACGGGGTCCCCAGCCCTGTCCAGCCAGGCCCCATCTTCATGACCCCCTGTCCTCTGCTTCAGTGGGAGTGGTGGCCCCCCAGCATCCTTGGGTTCAGTTTTGTTTAAGAAAGTTTTTATTTTCCAGTAGAACCGTGGCAGACAGCACTGAACCTGCCTGTGTAAGTTTCCCAAACCCTTCCCTGGGCATCCACTCCTGTCCCCCATGATTGTCGGGGGACCTCGTGGCTGTGCTGTGCCCACCCTCAGGACTGCAGCCCCCATCCTTCGTCCACGACAGGACGCCTCTCAGAACATGTGCTTCCCGCTAAGTAGCACAAAATTACATCCTTTCGAGTTAATTAAACCGCTGTGCACTTGGAGAGCGGCTGAAAGGGCTGTGAATGTCAGGGTAGACGAGTCACTTGTTTCCTGGCTCTGTGATGAAGGGTGGCCAGGCATTGAGAGGCCTGGCTCGGTCAGGGTCGCCAGGGCGGGCCACAGGTCGTCTGTCTGTGAGAGCATCTCACCTCTCAATTTCCCCTGTTGCAGCCACAGGGGCTGCTGCTACCCCCAGCTCTCCCCAGGGTGGCACTGGGCAGCCTGCAGGTATGGGCAGCCTCTGCTGTGCCCGGGTCCCAGCAGGGGCTGGGGGCTGAGAATCTGAGTCCACATGCGCCTCTAGCACCCCCAAGAAGAGCTGCTGTAGCCACCAGCTTTGTGGAGGACCCCCACGCCCATCCTGGTCCTAGTGGCAGGGTGGGCTGCCCAGGGCCGCAGCAGAGGTGAGGACTGTGTCACTGTGGGTACCTAGCCTCCCCTTCACGACTGTGACATGGGACCTGGAGGAGGCCTGGGAGCAGCAGGGTGCTGAGCGCTTTCCTGGGCTTTCAGACGCACTCTGGGTATCCCCCTGGACACAGAAGGGGTCAGTGAAGGCTACAGGTGCATGGTGTGGAAGCTTGGGGCCCACCCTGGGGAGTGAAGGCCCAGCCTGCAGAAGCCTGGTTTCCTCGCCCCCAAGCCCTGTCACCCCCATCCATCCTGGAGAACTACACTCTCTAGACTGAATCCTGTCCTGGTTCAATCTTAGCCCCGGCCTGCCCACTCCCCCTCAGATGCCTTCTGGCACCCAGACTGGGCCTTGTCCATCCATCAGAGTTGGGGTCAGGAGATAGCAGAAACCGAGAAACGATGCAGTCCCATTTCTCAGATGAGGAAACCGAGCCCCAGGGTACACAAACAGCTCTGAATAGTGGGCGGGGGGAGGGAGGCAGAGGGCCAGCACCTCCCGGGAGGCCGGCCAGGCCCTGGCCTATGTGGTGATGGGTGCCCGGGGCACGCGGGGTGTGTCCTCTGGGAGCAGGCCCCATCCTGCCTTCGACAGCCATCCCATTGCCTGCATCTCCTGGATCCAGGGACTGCTGGCTTGTACATCCCAATGGGGTCTGTGATCAAGAATGTCCACTGGCACCCAGGGGTCCGTGGAGGGCTCCCTGGAGCCCAGAGCCCAACAACCATGCAGAGGGTCTGCTTTCAGCAACGGGGGCCTACCTCATGGTTATCTTCTCTTAGCTGCACTTAGGTGAGCCTGGCATGTGCCTCAGTTTCCCCTCCTGTCATCCCAGGGGCCGTGAGGCCACTCATCTGCCAGCCACCCACTGAGATGTTAAAGCAGAGAACGCAGGAAGGACGTGGCAAAGGAGCTTGGGGCCTGAGGAAATGTGAGGGCCAGGGGACCACTGGAGTACACTTGGGGTCACTCAGGCGGCCCCCACCCCAGCACTCCTGGCCAGTGGGGGCCACAGAGGCTGTTGTCATGGGACCCCCACTTTCCCTGTCTGAGAAAGCTCTGCGGGGCCTGAGTGCCTGCTCACCCCAGTCCAGGAAGGGGTTGTGTGGAGCTGGCCATGGTCGTAGACCGGCCTGGCGACCACGTTTGGGGGTGTCTGTAGCATGCTAGGCCCCTGGGTATTGTGGGAGAACTGGTGAGCTGAGTCTGGCCGGTGTTCAGGTGTCAGGGACAATCCCCAAGTTGGACACAGTGGGAAGAAAAGCAGCAAATGGGATGTTTGTGTGTTTGTGTGTGGGTACGCACTGGCTGGAGCCATGGCCTGTTGCTAGTTCCAGGTTCCCTCAGGGGGACCCAGGCCCCCTCGTCTGATGACACCAGGCACTGGCATGGGCCATGAACTCAGCTGGGGACAGGAAGGAGAGAGTGTCAGGCCATGCATGCCCTCCAGCAGCCTGATGGCGCCATGGGGAAGAGCTGGGAGATGGACAGTTCCCACACCTCTCCTTAGGGGCTAATGTATTGGTTGCCCCAGGGCTGGTCTCCAGGTAGGCATTCGGTCCACAGAGGGTCAAGGTCATGGGTTAGACAAGGCAGCTGCACCATGGGCACAGGGATGGTATGGGGAGGGTCAGTAGCCAGTGGAGGAGCTGGCCCAGGTGGAGTAGGGGCGACAAGGAGGACATCACCCATGGGTGCAGGATTGGGGCCAGCTGGGAGCCAGTGCCTCCCCAGGGTTTCACGCTGGCCTGCAGCTCAGGCAAGGCCCAGGTAAGGCCCAGGCAGCAGATGGGCTCAGGTATAGCCACATCCACCACACCCACCTTGACAGCACGTATGTCTTACCTGATCATGCAGGGGGTGTGAATATGTGCTCTCTTGGAGACCAGGAAGGAGGAGTGGTCCCGCTGGCATTTTCATCTGGTCAGGCTGACCAAAAGCAGGGCCCTGGGGTGGCCTGGCTTCCAGGTACACGTAGCCCCTCTTGCGTTCTCACTGCTCGGCTGCACCTTTGGCGCAGTCAGGTTCTAGGTCTCCCTCTGCCAAGGGCTGGGGAGCACCTGGTCTGCTCCAGGCACCATGTGGCCGTGGGCATCAACAAGTGCCCTTCCGGCTGCAAAGAACCAGTTGAGAGATGCCCTGTGGCCACGTGCAGCTGCCAGGCGGGATCTGAATCCCAGACACAACCCCTGTCCAGCCCTCGGGTCCTGCCTGTGGTGTGCTCGCAGCTTCCTCCCCGGCTGCCCCACGGACTTGGTGACTTGAGGGGTAATTTGCAGTGGTCCTTGACTCTGTCACCCCTCCTTCTGCCATGACGGTGCTGGGTGTGTCTCCGCTCTCAGCCAAGGTGACCATGTCTGCCGGGCCGATGAATCCCGTCCCAGAGCAGAAGTCAACCCCTGCTGGAGAAGCTCCATCTGGCTTGTGAATTGGGAGGGTTTTCAGGATGAGGGGGCTGGCCCAGTCAGGCTGAGACCTGGGTGAGGCTGGGTGCTGGGAGGGAGCAGCCGTCCGGGACGTGTCTGAGGATCTTATCTGCCATGACCACTCATGAGTGAACCATTCAGGCTCAAAGGCTCGCCCATCTACCGTGTGTGGGGTTTGAGTCCCCACTGCTCCATTTCTGGTCCAGCTCCCTGCTGATACGCCTGGGAAAGTAGCAGAAGGTGTGCCAAGTCTGTGGCCCCTGCATGCTCCTGGCCTGGGTCTGGCTCGGCCCCAGCTGCTGCAGCTCTTTGGGGAGTGAACCAGAGAACAGAGGATGTATGTAGCTAACTCTGTCTCTCAGATCAACACGTCTTTGGAACACAAAACGTGGATTATGCAGGTTGTGTGTGATCTGGGATGCCCCCTGGCGGTTGGCAGAACTCGCTTCACTTCCTCAGTCCGCATGGCACAGGTTCCGTTCCCTGGCTGGGCAGCAACTGTCATTGTCTTTCTCTAGAGTCTCAATTTCTTTCTTGTCTATAGATCACATTGAGTTGTGATCGAGAAACGAAACAGTAAAATCTGCCAGCTTTGGGATGCCTACCTTGGCTCAGCCAGGCGGGGAGGGCCGGGGTCCGGCTCGGCTCACTGCCTGCAGCCTCAGCATTCCTCTCTCTTCCCTCTCCAGGCTCTGGGCGCCATTACTGCAGTGCCTGTCACGGGTCCTCAGGTCAGCTCCTTGCAGAGGCTGGCCGGGCAAGGAGCAGCCGTGCTACCTCAGGTGAGTGTGGCCAGGGCCCACAGTCTGTCCCTGGGTGCCCGCCATCTCACTCTGGGCCTTTCCCTGCCCCCTCTGCCTGCTCCTTCCAGGCGACGTGGGGACCCTGTGCGGTGAGGACATGGGTCTCGCTGGCCACGTGCAGGTGTGCTTCCCAGAGGAAGACCCCGGCTCGGCTGGAACAGGAGGCATCAGCTGCCCCCCACCCTTCCCTAGGCACCATGTCCTGTAGTGGCTCACTGTGTAACTCATGTCTGTCAGATACGTTCTGGATAAGGTGACTCGTTACAGGCAGGGCCATGTGCCCTGGTTCAGGTGCAGGGACACCTCGCTGGGCCACACGCTTAGGATGAATCACCGACGTGGGTCACCCGTCAGTGACTGAGCGGACTGAGTTGAGATATCCCGTGGGTGCAGAGGCCTGGCAGTGCCCAGGGTTCAGCTTTGTTGAGCACCTGCTTCACAGTCCTCCACGCCCTGTGAGCTGCTGCAGAAACAGCCGGCTCCAGCCTGCTCAGGGCGGAGGAGGGGACCAGGCAGGTGCTGCTGCTGGGGGTGGAGCAGGGCGGCAGCCGCAAAGCTCGTCCATGGGCCAGCTTCCCTCGAGTGCCACCTGTCCTGCCCCAAGAGAAGAGACACTCTGGGAATCCAGGGAGACTGGGCCTGCGAGAAGGGTGCACAGGGGAGGCAGGAGCCCCGAGGAGGTCTATGGCATACAGGTCAAGGAGAGCTTCCTGGAGGAGGTGGTATCTGACACAGGCCACAGGGGAGGGAGGACCCCAAAAGGAGGTGTGTGGTGAGCAGGGAGTGCAGGCATGGCGGTGAGACCAGTGTCATTCTTCTATGCCCTAGTGGTTGGGGCAGGCAAGCAGAGAGGCCAGTGGGTGCTAGGGTGCCCAGGTCTAAGGCCAGTGGGTGCTGCGGGGGGCTCAGGTACAAGGCTGATGGGTGCTGGGGGCTCGGGTTCAAGGACGGTGGGTGCTGGTGGGGCTTGGGTGTAAGGCTAGTGGAGTCGGGCTCCCTTGGCTGGCTGTGGGGAAGGCTGGACGGAGCTAGTCCAGGTCTGTGGTTTGTGGGGGAGATCTGACACTCTACTTACTTTCTCACTTGGACAAGTGCTCAGCCCTGCCTGCACTCCAGGGTGCTGTTCTGGGTGCACCCCAGGGTGCTGTTCTGGGTGTACACACAAACTCACACGTGTGCCCAGAGACGACACTCTCACACACTCTTGGACATACAGGCGCCCTCTGCCCTGGGTGCTCATCGTCGCCTCCTTGCTGCCCACTCCCCTCCCTTGACCAGGAAGCAGAACTGGGCAGCACCCGGAGGTCCCCAGGACTCTTCCTAGTTTTTGCCTTAGGATTGTGCCTCTGTGGCTTCTCCCTCAGCTGGACTGGGCTAGGGTTGGGTTGTGGCTGGGGTAAGGGGGCTGGGATTGGGGCTCTGGGACTGAACTGGGGCTCTGGGTGCTGGGGCTGGGCCACTGGGACTGGGCTGGGCCGGGCCAAAGGTCTTGCCTTCTGGACTACCCTGGGTGGACCCCATGGCCTCTCTTGAGGGACAGCCCTGCTCAGAGCTTCCCCTTCGCCCGTGTCCATCTATGTGTCTGACTTGCACCTGTCCCTTCCTCCCAGGTTAGGCCAAAGACACTGATTCCTGACAGCCTCCCCATTACTCCTGGCCGGGACCGGCCACCCAAACAACCGCAAGCCTTCCAGAAGGCCACCGTGGTCAGCATCAAGAACCCCAGCCCTGCCCTCCCCACTGCCAACAACACCGTCAGCCATGTGCCAACGCCCGGAAGCCAGCCCCAGGCCCTCACCGAGCCCACTGCCATCACCTCGCCGCTGAGCAGTGCTGGGGTGGCCTATGCCATCATCTCTACTTCCCCCAGCAATGCTGCCACCATTGCCCCCAGCACCACCGTGTCCGTGGTCCATGACAGCACCAAAGTCCAGCCCCTGCTCATCAGTGCCGACAGCCAGGTGGGTGCCCACCGGCCCGTCCCCAGGAGCCCTCGGGGCCTGGAGCAGCCAGGTGGGGGGCCGCTGACCCATCCCCAGGAGCCCTCGGGGCCTGGAGCAGCCAGGTGGGGGCCGCATGAGGGGGAAGCTGTGTGAGAGGGTGAGGCTGCAAGCTGGTGGGTGTGAAGGTGGGTGTGAGCAGATGGTGCAGGGACAGACAGGGTCTGAATGAGCGGCCAAGGTGCGTGTGAACAGGTAGTGAAGGGGGGAAGTCCCTGCGTGAGTGGCTGGGGTGCAGGTCAAGGAGGAAGTGACCCAGCTCCTGGCGGTATGGCTGCCGTGGGAGTGACCGACCAGCGCGTGCACTCAGGGCCGTGAGCGAACACAGCTGTGATGGGCTGAAGGCGTGACGGCCAGTGCTCGGGCAGGAGTTAGCGCTCCTCGGAGTGGCTGAACATGGGCCAGGAGAGCCCAGCCTTGGTGGCCAGCACTTGCAGGTACAGTGAAGGAGTCTGGAGCTTTGTGAGTGGACAGCTGAGATCCTCCCCTGCAGCGCGCTGGCTCTGGGTGGGGGCTTCACTGGAGGCTGGAGGTGTACATACCGGCCATCTAGCTTCCCGTGCCCCTTGTCTCCAGCGTAGGGTCCACGGGACCGTTCTGCCTGTGGCTGGTGTCCTGTGTCCCTAGCCTGAGGCTCCTGCCCCACCTTCCTGTGACTGAGGAGCTCGTGTGCAGCTTATGGGATTGCGGTGTGACTGTGTGTTTGTGTGTGTGTGTGTGCACACGCTGAGCCCAGCATGCGTGTGTGGTCTGTGGGAGTGCAGTGTGACCTGTGTGTGTGTGTGCGCACGCTGAGCCCAGCATGCGTGTGTGGTCTGTGGGAGTGCAGTGTGACCTGTGTGTGTGTGTGTGTGTGTGTGTGTGTGTGTGCGCATGTGCACGCTGAGCCCAGCATGCGTGTGTGGTCTGTGGGAGTGCAGTGTGACCTGTGTGTGTGTGTGTGTGTGTGTGTGTGTGCGCACGCTGAGCCCAGCATGCGTGTGTGGTCTGTGGGAGTGCAGTGTGACCTGTGTGTGTGTGTGTGCGCACGCTGAGCCCAGCATGCGTGTGTGGTCTGTGGGAGTGCAGTGTGACCTGTGTGTGTGTGTGTGTGTGTGTGTGTGTGTGTGTGCGCACGCTGAGCCCAGCATGCGTGTGTGGTCTGTGGGAGTGCAGTGTGACCTGTGTGTGTGTGTGTGCGCACGCTGAGCCCAGCATGCGTGTGTGGTCTGTGGGAGTGCAGTGTGACCTGTGTGTGTGTGTGTGTGTGTGTGTGTGTGTGTGCGCACGCTGAGCCCAGCATGCGTGTGTGGTCTGTGGGAGTGCAGTGTGACCTGTGTGTGTGTGTGTGCGCACGCTGAGCCCAGCATGCGTGTGTGGTCTGTGGGAGTGCAGTGTGACCTGTGTGTGTGTGTGTGTGTGTGTGTGTGCGCATGTGCACGCTGAGCCCAGCATGCGTGTGTGGTCTGTGGGAGTGCAGTGTGACCTGTGTGTGTGTGTGTGTGTGTGTGTGTGCGCACGCTGAGCCCAGCATGCGTGTGTGGTCTGTGGGAGTGCAGTGTGACCTGTGTGTGTGTGTGTGTGTGTGTGTGCGCACGCTGAGCCCAGCATGCGTGTGTGGTCTGTGGGAGTGCAGTGTGACCTGTGTGTGTGTGTGTGTGTGTGTGTGCGCGCGCTGAGCCCAGCATGCGTGTGTGGTCTGTGGGAGTGCAGTGTGACCTGTGTGTGTGTGTGTGTGTGTGTGCACACGCTGAGCCCAGCATGCGTGTGTGGTCTGTGGGAGTGCAGTGTGACCTGTGTGTGTGTGTGTGTGTGTGTGTGTGTGTGTGCGCATGTGCACGCTGAGCCCAGCATGCGTGTGTGGTCTGTGGGAGTGCAGTGTGACCTGTGTGTGTGTGTGTGTGTGTGTGTGTGTGCGCACGCTGAGCCCAGCATGCGTGTGTGGTCTGTGGGAGTGCAGTGTGACCTGTGTGTGTGTGTGCGCACGCTGAGCCCAGCATGCGTGTGTGGTCTGTGGGAGTGCAGTGTGACCTGTGTGTGTGTGTGTGTGTGTGTGTGTGTGTGCGCATGTGCACGCTGAGCCCAGCATGCGTGTGTGGTCTGTGGGAGTGCAGTGTGACCTGTGTGTGTGTGTGTGTGTGTGTGTGTGCGCATGTGCACGCTGAGCCCAGCATGCGTGTGTGGTCTGTGGGAGTGCAGTGTGACCTGTGTGTGTGTGTGTGTGTGTGTGTGTGTGCGCACGCTGAGCCCAGCATGCGTGTGTGGTCTGTGGGAGTGCAGTGTGACCTGTGTGTGTGTGTGTGTGTGTGTGTGCGCACGCTGAGCCCAGCATGCGTGTGTGGTCTGTGGGAGTGCAGTGTGACCTGTGTGTGTGTGTGTGTGTGTGTGTGCGCGCGCTGAGCCCAGCATGCGTGTGTGGTCTGTGGGAGTGCAGTGTGACCTGTGTGTGTGTGTGTGTGTGTGCACACGCTGAGCCCAGCATGCGTGTGTGGTCTGTGGGAGTGCAGTGTGACCTGTGTGTGTCCGCGCACCCCTGCCCCTGTGGGTGATTGTTAAAGCCTTGTGAGGTGTCACAGGCCGTGGTCGAGGGGCAGGGACCTGCCGAGGTGTGTGATGCCGAGTGGTGTGTGTGGACTGAGCCCGGACGTTTGCTCGCAGCTGCCCTGGCGTTTGCAGCTCGTGTTTCCTGTTCACTTCGCAGGTGCCTCGTTGTCGTCTTGGTCCCTCCAGGGCCACGGAGGACCGAGTGTTTCCGCCCTCCTCCAGTAGTGTGGCACTCACTGGAGCAGAGCCTTTGCCTCTCTGACTAGTACAGATCGCACCGTGTTTCCCTCTGTGAATACCAGAAGCGGATTTGTTTTTCTCACGTGGGGATTGTGGAGTTTTCAGTCTGACACACATGCACACAAGAGCAAAGGGCTTTTCTTTAAGCCAGCCAGAAAACAGAATCCATTTTCTCTCTGTAGTTTGGGGCCTCAGATTCACAAGTCACCCATGATCTTAGGGGAAGCAGGCTCATGTTCAGCCAATTCCTGGTAGCTGCCCCATGAATTTATTGTCCCCGGGTCGTGAAAGGATGGACGCTCTTCAAAGACACAGTGATACAGTCCAGGTGCAGGGACGGGCTGGCCGGAGCCCTGGCAGCAGCGGAGGCCTGGCCAGACCTGCAGTGGCCCAGCGTGGTGGTGGAGGTGCCTGACCTGGGGGTGCCCAGTGGTGTGAGTGGGGTCAGCAGCCCCTCTCCTCCTTCCTTGACCCCAGTGAGCCTAAAAGGGCCCTTCCGGAAGGTGGAGAAAAACGGGTCATTGTGGCCACCTGTACTCCAGTGCTCCCCCCACCCCCCCCTCGACACTTGAGAGGGGAGGGGTCAGGTAGCCTGGGGGAGAGTCCCTGTCCCCTCTCTGTCCTCAGACGGGGGCACAGCTGACCCTGTTAGCCCAGAATGGCTGGACGGGAGCTAGGACCGAAGACCCTCCTTCCTGAGTTCCTGCTGCAGATGCCTCCCACCTGCCTGGGAAAGCTGAGGCTCACTTGGGTGGAGGAACTGTCACTCCTCTCCTCCCAAGGCCACACAGCTGGGAGGTGGTAGGGCAGGATTTGAACCCCTAACCCTGTGGTTCTCAAACCCAGTCAGCTGCAGGCGTATCTGTGACCCAGGTGGACCCCGTCTTCCCCCTCCCTGACACTGTCAGCCCCCCATGTTGTCATCACCCCTGTGTCACCCCTCATCATCATCCCCCCGTGTCCTGAGCTCCCACGCCCTCAGCTCCCCTCCCCTGCAACTCCATCACCCCCACAGTCACGCCCCCCATGCTGTCTCTCCTCTCGCCATCATCCCCCACGCCGTCACCCCCTGCTGCTTCTTCCAGGTCATCATCCTCCAGCCGCAGGTGCAGGCGCAGCCCGAGAGCCCAGTGGAGCCGCAGCCGCCCACGGAGGAGTCATCTCAGGGAGCTCAGGCCACCAAAACGACGAAGGAAGATGGGGCCTCAAGCCAGGAGGACCCTGAGGTAGGGCACCCTGGGTGGGCGGCACGGCCCGCGCCACATGCAGAGCTGGGCACCCCAGCCCAGGGTGGGCGGCACGGCCCGCGCCACATGCAGAGCTGGGCACCCCAGCCCAGGGTGGGCGGCATGGCCCAGGCTACATGCAGAGCTGGGCACCCCAGCCCAGGGTGGGCGGCATGGCCCAGGCCACATGCAGAGCTGGGCACCCCAGCCCAGGGTGGGCGGCACGGCCCGGGCCACCTGCAGAGCTGGACAGTGTTGAGGCAGGACTTGGTAGCGTGATGGCAGGATGCAGCTATGGTAGTGTTAATCCCAGACCCAGGCTGAGGGGTACCTCTGTCCATGGGGTCCGTGCAGCCCCCTTCCTCGGGATTAGCATCGGGCGTGGGGGGACTGGCGGGCATGGAGGGACTGGCGGGCATGGGGTGACTGACGGGCATGGAGGGACTGGCGGGCGTGGGTTTACCCGCAGTGAGCCTCCTGCTCCTTGCAGGGCCAGGTGTGGTTGCTGGGGGTCCGAGGTGGGGTGAGATGTCAGAGTGGAGCTGTGGGTGAGGGTGGCTTTGCAGGGCTGCAGAGATCACGTGAGCAGGGACAGCGTGCCAGGCAGCTGCTCCCTGGGCCCTCAGAAGCCCAGGACTCCTCAGGCTACGAGGAGAGGGACTTTGATTGCTGTCTTCCAACATGCCCAGCCGCTGAGTGAGGCGTGGCACCAGGCCTGCTGTGGCACTGGCTGTGTGCATGGCGAGGCCCTGGCCCAGCTCGCAACCCAAGGCCATCTCAAGCATCCTTCCTTCCTCCTCGGGGTTTGACTACACCCTGTAATGTTGGAGGAGGTTTCCTGGGTGGTTCCTCTCTGTGCTCTCAAAATGCATCCTCGTCAATTAGCATGCATTTATGCAATTAATGTAATGGCATCCGACTGCCTAATTAGACAGTGATGACTCAGACAGAACTTGGCAGTTGCAACATGTACTGACATATGAACCTCCATGTATGGAAGGTTTCTTCTAGAAGGTGGAGGCAAGTTGTACCGTGCAGGGCCCTGCCCACCTGTGCACCTGCTGACCAGGCTCTGTTTGGCCACTCCGGGGGAGTGAGCAGCAACTGCCACCTACGCAGCTCATGCGGCAGCTCAGGGTTCCCTGACGCGGCCTGGATCTTGGTAGGGGACATGAACTTGACCTGGTATTGGTCAGGTTACTGACTTAAAGGAAAACTGACATCTTCATGGCATCCAAGAAAAAGTCCCTTTAGAGGGAAAGCCGTTAGTTAGCTACGGATTCCAGGAGAGGACACGTGTGAGGAAGAGCCAGAATCATCAGGGTGACCCACTGTCCTTCGGGCCGAGAGACCACAGAGTGGGCTGCATGTTGGCTGGGACCTCAGCAGGTGCCACCGTGGTGGACTGTTCATGGTAGAGGTCCAGCCTCGGGCAGCTGAGAGCTGGCTAGCCCGGGTGGGGGCTTCCTGCGTCCTCACACCAGGGTTCGGGGGGAGTGCGCCAAGAGGGGGTTACACGCCTGTCACTGGCGGGAGAAACGCCCTGAGGAGCATGAAGAGGAGGAGGGAAGGAGGGTGGGACACGTGCAGTCAGGGGCAGTCAGGGCGTGGCGACTAAAATCTAAGTGGATTGTTAGTTCATGGTAACACGGATGTACGGTGCAGGAGAGCCACCGCTGGAACTCCGAGACGGTGGCTGCTGGCCGTGGGAGGGCTGGGAATCCCCACACAGATACCCCCAGAGTTGGAGCAGCATGGCGTCCTGGCAGTGGTACCGTCTGCCCACGGCAGCCACGAACTGCACGCCTGGAAATCATCAACTTATTCGCGCCCACCTGCTGGGAGGCAGGCATCCCCCAGGACAAGTGTCTGCTGCGGCGTGCCGTGACAGGGGAGGACAGCCCTGCCCGTCACTTGTGCTGTTCTGTGAACATCACCCAGGGACACAAAGCAACCTGCTCGTTCTCAGAATGACCCGCTCTGGCTTCCCAGCATGAAGGGTGACAGGCTGTAGGGCCAGACACATGCAGACCTAAGTGTACACCGAGGCAGGGGGCCACGGAAGGCTCAGGAATACACAGACCCGTGACTGAGTGTGCGTATGAATGGCTCTGTGGCTCCGGGGCGAGGATGCCGGCCAAGCGCAGGCCGCCGAAGCATGTAAGAGATGCCCGCCTCTGCCAGGGCTGGCGGGCCATGCGGATGCAGATACACAGAAAGCCACACGCCGGATCCCAGCCAAGTGCTTCGTGGCCTTGGAATCCTGTTGCAGGGTGCGAGATCACACCAGACATGTCTAAGGTTTATTAGGGAGTCTTTATTAACCAAGCTTGGTGGTAGCAGGGCCCACTAGAAATAGCAAAGCACAGGTCCATATGGTGATCCAGTCAGTCGAAACCCCAAGAGGAACAAATGATCATTACCCTGAAGTCCACCCGTTAAACTGAAGACCTGTGTGCCAGCTTCCCCAGCAATGTAAGTTATCCTAAGAGACATGCAGCGAATAACCTGGGCACACTCACAAAGCTGCAGACATTCACCTTTCCCTGGCTTCTCTGCCCACACTCCACTGTTGCCAGGCCTCACCTCTCCTGGCACTCCCGACAGCACACGCATTAGAAATACAAAGCATCTTAGCATTGCTGTCTTCGCTGTCCCGCCCAAGCAGGGAACGGAGGGTGAGGAATACAGACACACAGGGCCATGCTCAGGGGACACCTGTCCTCAGAGGTGCTGGGGAGACCAAGAGTCGGAGTGCCAGAGCCACGGAAGCACGGGACCAAGAGAGCGAGCCCCTCCTTATCACGGGCCTTTACGGGGGCTTGTGAGGGGAGTGGTTACACAGCAGTGCTGTCCTGCCCCCTCGGGTTCCAGGTGATGACAGGTGAGCGTCACAGGTGGCAGGAGGGACCACCTAGGTCATGGGGAGTGGCTTCCAAGCTCATGACCCTGAACTAGCTGCCTACCCTACCACAGTCCACAGCCAAGATCTGAAAATGCCAGTGCTACCAAACAAAATACTGATAAATCCTGAATAAAAGTTTTTTTTTAAAATTAACATAGCACTCCCACCCCCACTCAAATCCAAAAGAAGTAGAGCTGACTGGGATTTGAAGCAGTGGATGCAAGATGGAGATAGCTCTCTCTCTGTCTCTTTCTCTCTCTGCCTTTCGAATGAATAAACCTGTTTCTGGGGGGAAAAAAGGAAAAGATTTGTTGGAAAGAGATTTACAGAGAGAAGGAGAGACAGAAAGATCTTCCATCTGCTGGCCAATGCTTCAAGTGGCTACAACAGCTGGAGCTGAACTGATCCAAAGCCGGGAGCTAGGAGCTTCCTCCAGGTCTCCCACGCGGGTGCAGGGCCCCAAGGCTTTGGGCCGTACTTGACTGCTTTCCCAGGCTACAAGCAGGGAGCTGGATGGGAAGTGGGGCTGCCGGGATTAGAACCGGCGCCCACATAGGATCCTGATGCTTGCAGGAGGATGATGACCTAGTTGAGCCATTGCACTGGAACGATCAACCTTTCCTATGTAAGAACGAGCCTGGTGCCGAGAGCGTGTGGCCCCTTGGGACAGCAGTGCCCATGGTCAGAGGCCAGCTGTAAGCAGAGCTGCTGTCCTCGGGCAGTCTCCCCCAGCTCCTGTGGGCTGGGCTAGGGCCTTGACCATGGAGGACAGTCCACTGTGCACTGAGCCACCACCAGTAAATGTGGCAGCCACAGTAACACTTCTCTCTCCGTCCTCTCAGAAAATCGCCTTCATGGTAGCCCTGGGCCTGGTCACAACAGAGCACCTGGAAGGTAAGCTCCTGAGAGCGGCAGCTAGGTCACGGGGGACCCGGGGAATGGCATGGGCAGGGAGGTGCCCAGGAGATGGCATGGATGGGTGGGGAGCCAGAGATGGTGTGGGCTGTCGGAGGGCCTGGAGGACAATGTGGGCAGTGGGCAGGGCCTGGGACATGGCGTGGGCGGGAGGCAGAAGATGGCGCGCATTGTGGGGTCCCAGGAGACAGCGTGGGCAGTGGGGGTGGCACTGGGTGGAAGCATCTGAGTGCCCACGCGCCAGGCCAGGTGGCAGCCTCCCAGAGGGCTGCCCACGGATTGGTCAGATGTCACCTGTCGGGCAAGAAGTCCCCCTTCCCCACTCTCCTGGTTTCCTGGCTGCCCACAGAACCCGCTGTGGCACTGGCTGGGGGTTCCCCACCCCTGAGGCAGCAGAGAGGCCAGTGTGCCCAGGAAGGGCACCCCTGGGCTCCACAGTGCCCATCCCGGTCACTTGGAGCATGTGAGGCAGAGAGGGCCAGGGTCTGGGACCAAGGTCACACGGTTCCTCCCAGCCATGCTGAGTAAGAACAGGCCTTGGCACAGCAGGTCCAGCCCAGCCCCTCACCTTGGGGTTTGCTGGACACTGCCTGCAGGTAGGGGCCCTGTGAGCACTGAGTCTTGCTTGGGGACTAGCCCGGCTGGCCTCTGACCATTGGCACTGCTGTCCCGAGGGGCCACAACCAGCCAGGAACCAGGGGCACGAGTGGGTCCTGGGCTAGTCCCGGCTGCCTTGGAGGGCGAGGTTGCTGTCACAGGAGGGAGCAGTGGGGTCCAGGGCCAGGACAGGGAAGGCCCAGACCACTACCCACCACCCAACACCCCACAGTCCTGCCCCCCTAACCTTCCAGTCTACCACCTCCCTGCCCACTACCAACTGCCTCTCTCACATAACCCCATCCGCTGCGTCCACATCTACCATCTTCCTGCCCACCGCCTCCCTCACTAACCCCTGCCCACAGCCTCCCTCACACACTCCCATCTGTCCCCTGCCCACCGCCTCCCTCACACACCCCCGTCTGCCCCCTGCCCACCGCCTCCCTCACACACCCCTGTCCACTACCCCCCTGCCCACTGCCTCCCTCACACACCCCCATCCACCACCCCCCTGCCCACTGCCTCCCTCACACACCCCCATCCACCACCCCCCTGCCCACTGCCTCCCTCACACACCCCCGTCTGCCCCCTGCCCACCGCCCACCACCTCCCTCACACACCCCCATCCGCCCCCTGCCTGCCGCCCACCGCCCGCCGCCCACCGTGCCTTTGCAGAGATCCAGAGCAAGCGGCAGGAACGCAAGCGAAGGAGCACGGCCAACCCCACCTACAGCGGCCTCCTGGAGACCGAGGTGCAGGGCTGCCCCTGGAGGTGGTGTGGGGCTGCCCCTGGAGGTGGGGCGGGTGACTGTTGGCCCTCCCACCGCACCCTCCTGTTGGGTTCTTCCTCCTGCGGGACCTGGCGAGGGCCTGGGCAGCGTGGAACAGGCCAGGCTGGCATCCTAGAGAAAGGCTTGAAGAGACTGGTGGGGCCGGAAGAGGAGCCGGCATGACTGGCTGAAGCCTCCCCCGCTGTGCCTGGGCCTCCTCTGCCCACCTGACCCACAGGCTGTCATCCTCTGTGTGGGTGACCAGCATTCCCCGGGGACAGCATGTGGCTCACTCTCTAGGTGGCGCTCCTGCTGCAGATAACACTGCCTCGGGCATCCCTGGGGCCGCTGGCAGGCAGGGTGCCCTGGCCCCGACAGGCTCTGGGAGGGGGCACAGGCGTTACAGACTGTGTCCAAGACAGGAAACTCCCTCCTCCCTCCTGGCCCCATGTAGACCCCACCCATGTCCTTCGCAGCCACAAGCAGGCCAGGGACGGAGGATGGTTGTTCCCAGGGAGGAGATGAGCCCAGCATGGAGTGCTCTCATCTCTCCAAGTGAGGTCCTGAAGTCTTAGGCTAAAACCCAGGCAGGGTCTCCCCAAGTTCAGCTCTGCCAGGCCTGCCGGGCCTGCCATGGCATCCTCAGCCTGGAGGCCACCCGTCCTATGGGCCCTAGGCGCTGGTGATGGGGTCAGTCCGCAGTATGTTCCAGACTCAGCCGAGGGTGCGGATGCAGGGTCTCAGGTCTGTCCAGGCCTGCTGTCCTGAAGCTGTCCTGAACCTTCATTTCATGTCCGACGGGGAAGAACTGGCCCGGTCAGCTGTGGTCTGGCCTGGCCTGGCCAAGCAGGTTTCCAGCAGCCCCCAGGCAGTGTCCCAGCTGTCCTGTTCCTGCCTGTCCCCTTCTGTCATCCACCTTCGCTGATGCCCCTCTGCCCCTGTCCTCTGAGCTGTGCCTCGTGGGTGAGTCTGGGGCCAAGTGATGGCCACGGGCGTGCTGGGGTCACTGTGTGCTTTGCGTCCCTGCAGAGAAAGCGGCTGGCCTCCAACTGTCTCAGCCCCTTGTTCCTTACAGCCAGAGGTAAGCGCTGGCCACAGAGTGTGGCTGTTCTGGGGGGACCTGTCCACACCCCACAGGGCCTTCCGTCGCTGCCACCTGGGAGCCGTGTGCGGTCCACAGCAGGCACTCCGGCCTTGCCGACACAGGTCTTGGCAGGGGTTCCCCATGGTACTGCCCAGTGCAGCTGACCCTGCAGGGAGTTGCTGGGGATGCTGGGCTGGCACCTGACCACCCTCCTCTGCCCTGCTACGGATCCAGAAAGCCTCGGGCTCCCTGTGGACAATTAGGCAAGGACCAGGCCTTCCAGCATACCACCACTCTGCAGCTCTGCCTGGGACCTGGCCCACAGCCTTAACGCACAAGTCCTGTCCTGTGCCAGTCTGGGCCCTGGCAGGATGCCATGGGAACACCATCCCCCACCCATGACAGGAGGCCGTCTGCCACATCAGAACTGTTCTTGGGGGGGCGGGAATGACCATCTGGTTCTTGGGATTCTTGGGGGCTTTCCCTGGACCTTGGTTTACTCATTTGTGGAATGGGCCCGTGTCCACCTTGCCCCCCCCCCGCCCCGAGCTGGGACATGGTGGCACACAGAAGGGCATACAGGGATGGCTCTACCACGGGCCGTTCCCAGCAGATGTGTTTGTAGTCACTGAGCTGGGATGTGACTTCACAGGAACAGGGGTGGGTTGCAGCCAAGACAGCGCTGAGCTCCTGTGTCTGTCCCCATGGAGGGTCCGGCCCAGGCCTGGGTGCAGCACGGGCCTCTCCCAGCCTCTGGCCCTGGTGGGCTTGGCCTTCACCTTGCCCCCTGAGCCAAGGGCCGTGTGCTGCTGCCAGCATGTCCTGAGGCCCAGCACCGGCCCTGGGTTACCCTCCTGCGCCTCTAATGCTCTCCACCCTTCTTCCTTGTGCTAGCCAATGAGGAACCCTGCTGGAAGGTACGTGTCCCCTGCATCTTCACTTTAGGGGTGGGGGCACAACCCCAGCAGGCCAGGTAGGGTCACTCTGGGCAGGGGCCTGGGCGCTAAGGTCCTGGCACAGCCCCCGGGGCATGGCATCCAGCAGGAGCCCCCTGCCAGTCTGACTGGTTCCACAGAGCTGCCGTTCTCTGGTCCTCTGCTGCCCACCAGCTCCGTCGTCCCTGTGGTCTCCCCGCACATGCCCACTCTGCTGTTGCTGCCTGAGGCCGCTCCCTGCACACACTGCAGGCATGGCCTCGGTCTTCCTGCCTACGTTTCTGACCTGGATCTAAAGGAGTGTGCTAGATCCTGCAGGTGTGAAATGCACAGGGCGCTGGGCCTCTCCGGCAAGGCCATGTCTGCCCCACAGGTGCAGGCCAGCCTGCAGATATGTCCGCGAGCGTGGTTGCACGGATGGGACGGACCTGTAGCCTGCACCCCCAGCACTCTGAGTCCGCAGTGTTAAGGGGCCTTGTCTGAGCCGGCACCGGGTGCCCGTCTCACCTCCAGCATGCTGCGACCTCAGGCAGACACCGCAGCCTCCTGGGCACGGTGATGTGGGGTGCCAGGGTGGTGCGGGGTTCTCCAGGGCCTTGCCTCCTTTGAGGACTTGCTGTGTGCAGTGACACTGCGGCATGACCGTGCCCCACAGCCGCCCTCTAGTCTCGTCAGCTCTGAGTGTGGCTGCGAGAGCAGGACTCTCCCGCCATGGGGAGCTGGGGTGTGACTGCCTCTCCCCCACTCACAGCCACACTTGTCATACGCTATGCTGGCACCGGCCCATGTCACACTCACTTGCTAGGGTGTCACGGTGCCCAGGCTTGGGCAGAGGGACTTGTGTCCCAGGGCACACCCGCCCCCGCAGCCATGTCATGCCAACCTGTGCCGGGTGGGAGGTTGGCTGCCACCCATGGGCAAGTCCCACTCACAGACCCTGAGGGGGACTGTCAGATCACAGTGGGACCCCTTTGCCTGCCCCTCCTGGAGGGCTGGGGTGCAGAGCCATAGCATGCCTGAGCCCTAGGGTCCTGGCCCGGCCCTCTCCGTCTCTGGGGTGCAGAGCCATAGCATGCCTGAGCCCTAGGGTCCTGGCCCGGCCCTCTCCGTCTCTGGGGTGCAGAGCCATAGCATGCCTGAGCCCTGGGGTCCTGGCCCGGCCCTCTCCATCTCTGGGGTGCAGAGCCATAGCATGCCTGAGCCCTGGGGTCCTGGCCCGGCCCTCCGTCTCTGGGGTGCAGAGCCATAGCATGCCTGAGCCCTGGGGTCCTGGCCCGGCCCTCTCCGTCTCTGGGGCCCCAGCCCTGCTCACCACTCAGCCGCCTTGGCCCGCCTTCTCTTTCAGAGCGACATCACCCACGAAGAGCACTGCGCCACCTGCAAGCGTGGGGCTGACCTGCAGCCCTGCGGTGCGTGCCCCTGCGCCTACCACCTCAGCTGCCTGGACCCGCCCCTCAGGACAGCGCCCAAGGGCGTGTGGCTGTGCCCCAAGTGCCAGCAGAAGGTGCGGGGAAGGGCCAGGGCAGTGCAGTATGGACAGCACGGGCTCTAAGGATGGCAGGATGGGGAGTAGTGTGCCCTCGCCCCCAGGCACATGCAGGTGCAGGTGGTGGGACAGCCCGTGCCCTGGCTGACGCACTCTTGGCTTGCTTTGAGGACTGCTAGAAACTAGCCCAAGTGTGGGCACCCTGACAATGCAGACCGCTGAAATGCAGATCCCCAATGTTCTGGGCTTTGTGGGAGCTGGGGCTGGCTGCCCCCACTCTGAGGAACCATGGGAGGAGTGAGTTGCTGTTGTCCGTATCAGCACAGTGGAGAGGGGTGGCCTCCTGGTCTGTTCCTGCCTGTCTGTCTGTTCTCGGGCTGCTGGCGTGGGAAGGGGACAAAGTGACCTGTTGGGGAGTCCAAGGGAGACATACCCAGAAGGTCTCGATCTGGTCACCGTGACTCGGAGGGGGTGTGCTTTCCCTAAGACCACCCAGCCAGGGCTGGCCCCAGCGGGCCCGGTGCTGACCGCTCTCTCATTCCCCATCTGTCCCCAGGCCTTAAAGAAGGATGACGGTGTGCCCTGGACTGGCATGCTGGCCATTGTGCACTCCTATGTCACGCACAAGACAGGTGAGGCATCCCTGAGGGCAGGGAGGGGGTCACCTCCTCCCCAGCCCACCCTGCACTGCCCCACCCAGGCCTCAGGGATCACATGGGACCTTTGGGAGCTGGACAGGTGCAGCCACTTCCAGGCCAGAGCTCTGAGAAGTCCCCGGGCACCTGCTGGGAGAGAATTCCCAGAGCCCCTGGCTGCAGCAGGGCTGAGGCCCGGGTTGGGCGTCGAGTCTCGCACTCCCAGCACAGCAGGGCTGAGGCCGGGCCTGGGTGCTTGAGCCTTAGTTCCACAGCCCAGCACAGCAGGAATTGGGCAGGGGTGAGGCCAGGCCTTGGCGCCGAGCCTTGCACACTTCACCTCAGTGTGACTTCCCGACCCCTGTCGTCTCCAGTGAAGGAAGAGGAGAAGCAGAAGCTGCTGCGGCGAGGCAGCGAGCTGCGGAGTGAGCGTCAGCAGCTGGGCGAGCGGGACCGGCAGCTGGCCTCGGCCGTGAAGGTGTGCATGGGGCGGGGCCCCAAGGGCAAGCCCAGCCGTCTGTCTGTCACCCCAGCCGTCCCGTCCATCACCCCAGCCATCCTGTCCATCACCCCAGCCGTCCCGTCCATCACCCCAGCCATCTGTCTGTCACCCGAGCCATCCTGTTTGTCACTCCAGCCGTCCTCTCCGTCACCCCAGCTGTCCTGTGTGTCACCCCAGCCGTCCTGTCCATCACCCCAGCCATCTGTCCGTCACCCCAGCTGTCCCGTGTGTCACCCGAGCCATCCTGTCTGTCACCCCAGCCGTCCCGTCCATCACCCCAGCCGTCTGTCTGTCACCCGAGCCATCCTGTCCATCACCCCAGCCATCCTGTCCATCACCCCAGCTGTCCCGTGCGTCACCCCAGCTGTCCCGTCCGTCACCCCAGCCGTCCTGTGCGTCCAGCCACCCTGAGTGTCACAGAGGCCTGGGGTGGGATGAGGGGGACATACCTGCCAGATAGTGCTTGGCACATCGGTAGTGGCAAAGCGAGGGACACAGCTGTGAGCACCCAGGGGCATCCTGGCCCTGTCCTTCTGTGAGCTGGGCAAGGCCCTGCCCCCTGTTGGGATGGTTTGTTCTGTGTCAGGTGGAACTTGGTGTTCCTCTGTGGGGCGGTGGAGATGGTGTTGGTGAGGGTGGTGAGGGTGGTCCTGATGGTGGCCACAGAGCCAGGCCCTGAAGCAGCTCTTCAATGCCGCATCCCAGGGAGTCAACTTAGTACACTAGGAGCAGTGTCAGGAGGCCCGAGGAGCAGCGGGCATCTGACTGCCAGCCTCTGTCCTACCATGTCCCTGTGACGAGAAGGACCAGAAAGGGCTGCACCGAGCAGTGGGTGTGAGAGCGGGAGGGGGTGGCTCAGGGCTGTGCCAAGAGGGCAGCTGCCCCAGACCCCCTGTGTCTTCCTCCCCGCCAGAAATGCCTGGAGCTCAAGACAAGCTTGCTGGCGCGCCAAAGGGGCACCCAGTCGTCCCTGGACCGCCTCCGAGCCCTCCTGCGACTGATCCAGGGCGAGCAGCTGCTCCAGGCTGCTGTGGCGGCCACAGGCCCCGCCCCGCTGGTGGCCGTGCCCTGGACCAAGCCTCCAGCCTCAGCCATGCAGTCCTCCCTGCAGCACCCCCAAGGTCACATCTGATGCCAGGGGACCAGGGGAGTGCTGAGACCTGTCCCCGCCACTGGGGGGCGCTGTCAGCCTTAATTCACAAATACGATGAATTCCAGCCAGAAATAAGCTTGGGCAGAGGCTATAAAGCCCCCTCGCACAGGAGTGCCGGCCATGCTTCCCGGAGCCAGGCCAAGTCCTGTGCCCGTCACCCTCCCGGGGGTCCCCCAGGAGCGTGGGGCCCCAGATCTCTGCTGCCTCGTGACTCCCCATGGTGCTGGCCAAGGGTGATGCCAGCTGGGCATCCTGCAGGGGTGGTAGCTGAATGGTAGAGGTAGCGGGTGTGCTCAGGGTGAGAAGTGGTAGCAAGCCAGATGCTTCTCGCAGGGCCCCCTCATGGGCGCGCCTGGCCTGGATGGAGCCAGTAGCCCCTCCGGTCAGAACTGGTGGGGTCGGAAGTCACCCATTTGCCTGGAGCCCTGGCAGCCTTGCAGCTGGCCTCACCACCTCGTCCAGTCCTCCTGACTCCTGCACCCATCCGTGTGTTTCTCATGGGGCGTGTATCTCCCACTGGGGTGGGGGCCACAGCCCTGCAGCACAGCCTTCGGTGGGGTCTGCTGCTCGGCTGACGGCGGAAGCCTTGGCCTTCCCCGGCCCCAGGCCCACCCCTCTCGCTCTGCTGCTTCCAGGCCGCTGTGGACACTATGCCAAAAAGCCACATTGCATTTTTATGTGGTGCTTCGACTGTGAGAGATTCAGCGGGGAGCGGACCCTCGCTGACTCCCTGGGCCCAGGGAGGGTCTGGCCTCTGGGGGCGCACAAGTCCCCTCTCGCTGAACCTGGAAAGTAGGGACCCAGGGGCCCACCTGGGTCGGCTGTGGCAGCTCGTCAGGCCTGCTGCCGTCTCTGTCCTGAGCCACTTAGCACAAGCGAGGTGTCTGGGAGCTGCAGGGCTCCCACCCCGAGCATATCACATGGTGCCGAATTGCAGTGAACACACATGTGCGCCTGCGGCGTGGCCTTGCCCACACGCCTGCCCGCGGACGCAGGTGCAGCGCGGGGGGCTGGCCTTCCTGCCAGGGACCTCCCCCTCCCCCTGTCATTCTCACGACTCCGGGAGTAACTGTGGTGTATGATAACAGATCTATTTTACTACACTTCACGCAGGGCCAGACCAGATTCTCTATTCTTTTACTGATGAACAGTGGCCCGTGAGGGTCACGGCTTCTGTATGGGTTTCCCTATGCTGATTATGCAGTGCCACGTGGCCAGCCACGTCCGTGTCTTCAGGTTCCCCTGGTGGATCGGTTTCTTCGTGAATGGGTTTGTGTGTGGAGCGGGAGGGTGTGGGAGGCCGGCCCGGAAGAGGGGCGGGCGCTGCCGCGTCTGGAGATGTAGTTTGCCTGGAGCCATGAGGACATAGTGAGAATAGAGAAAAAGTGTTTGTCTTTAAATCCGCCGCTGTAGTTTGCCTTCTGTACGAAGTATTAAACTCATTGGATGGTCTCGATGCCGTGTGGTCTCTGTCCTTGCCTGCTGCGGGGAGGGCCTGGCATAGCCTAGGGGCCACAGGAGGGAGGGGCGGGGAGGGAGTGCAGCGTGCCCTCCTTGCCAGGCCTCTTGCTCCCACCTCCGCCTGCAAGGGGTCGGTGCACCTGTGAGGCCAGGAGCAGTGGTCCGTGGGTGGCATCCACTGCCCGCCCACCACCTACACCTGACCAACTAGAGGGCCAGTTTGGGCTTCACGGAGTGGAATCACAGCCAAGGTGACTGCCCGCTGGGGGCACAGCTGGAAGGCCCACCGAGCAGGGGCTGCTGCAGCCTGCCCGGGGCAGTCTTAGAGAAGGCGAGTTACAGATGGGCTCTATCCCGACCACACACCCCCTCCCTCATGTGGCTTTCCTTGGTGTCTCCGATTCACACCTGCTCTCAGACTCCCCTAGTCCCCTGACCCCACTTCCCTGTCCTAAAGTAGCAGGGACTGTCCTGGCCACACCTATGGCCGTCCTGACTGCCCCCCCAAACACACCCCAGAACCTACAGGGCCACATGACACTAATCCTGTGACAGACTCCTGGGTCCTGCCCTGCCCTGGCTGGCCACCCCTGCCCCCCGCCTCTGTCCAGGAATGCTGTTGTCCAGTTGCCGAGGCCTCAAGGGTTCTGAGCCCCTTGACCAGCCTCATCCACCATCCCAGCTCTGCCCCTGTGCTACTGGCTGCCTGGGGCCAGACCCATGGGCAGTGCCGGGATGGGACCCGTCACCCAGGGACCAGCTGCACCCCTCACACGGGTTCCTGCCAGGATGGGACCCGTCACCCAGGGACCAGCTGCACCCCTCACACGGGTTCCTGCCAGGATGGGACCCGTCACCCAGGGACCAGCTGCACCCTCACATGGAGTCACCTCTGTCTTGGTGTCTTTCTTATTTCTGTAAGAATTTGAGTACTGGGGCTAGCCTAACAGGCTCAGCCACCTCCTTTGGTGCCAGTAACCCATATGGACACTGGTTCAAGTCCTGGCTGCTCTACTTCCAACCCAATCCCTGCTAATGGCCTGGGAGAGGCAGTGAGACATGGATGCTTAACTCACATGGGAGATCCGAAAGAAGCTGCTGGCTTAGGTTGACTTAGCCCTGGCCATTGTGGCCGTTTAGGGAGTAACCAGCAGATGGAAGCTCTCTCTCTAATTCTGCCTTTCAAATAAAAATATTTTTTAAAAATGAAAAATTTGGGGCTTGGCATGTAGCCTGGTAGGTGGCTAAATCATTGCCTTGCATGTGTTGGGATCCTGTATGGATACTGGTTTGTATCCCAGCAGCCCCACTTCCCATCCAGCTCCCTGCTTGTGGCCTGGGAAAGCAGTCGAGGACAGCCCAAAGCTTTGGGACCCTGCCCCTGTGTGTGAGACCTGGAGGAAGCGCCTGGCTCCTGGTTTTGGATCAGCTCAGCTCCAGCCGTTGCAGCCACTTGGAGCGTGGACCAGCAGATGGAAGGTCCTTCTGTCTCCTCTGTTTATCTGATTTTCCAATACAACTAAACAAATCTTTAAAAATTTTCAAGATCTGCATGTTTATTTGTTACAGAGTTACACTGAGTAAATGCGCTAGGTTTCATCTTTGAGTTTGCTCCTCAGATGGTTACAACAGCCAAGGCAGAGCCAGACCAAAGTCAGAGGCTAAAATCCCATCTGGGTCTGCCTCGTGGGTGCAGGGTCCATCTCATTGCCTCTCCCAGGCCATCTGCAGGGAGCTGGGTTGCAAGTGGAGAGGCTGGGACTTGAACCGGCGCCCATACGGGATGTCAGCTCTACAAGTGCAGGCTTAACCTTCTGTACTCAGTGCTAGCCAATGAGCACTCCTGTCCCAACGCTGCTCTTCCCACACTGTTGAGCCCCTGGTGCCTCATCCTCTCTGGCCTCTTCAGTTTGTGACCCACCCTTCTCTGTTCCTTTTCTTCCACTGGCCAGGCTCCCACCATGGGGTCTTGGCATGTGCCGTGACTCCACCTGGCTTGCTGCACCCTGCCTGCCTCCACGTGCCTTTGGTGGTGCAGCTGCCCCAGGCTGTTTGACTTTGGGAACTTTGTACCGCCCATGGCCACACATGCCTGGTTCTGTTTTAACCCACCTGCTTCAGACAGGCAGGGCTGCTGGGTTACCTTGCTCAGAGTCCCAGCACTTGGTACAGTCCCAGGCTGTATATACATCTTTATGGAAGAAACAGACTTGAGGAAGAAATGGCCAGGCCCCTGCCCCTGTCTGCAAATCCCACAGGATTCTGGGGCAGTCCCTGGCCCAGAGTGTGAAGAGAACCGGGCGCCCCTTGGTACCCTGCAACCCCAGTGGTGGCACTGCCCGCTCCATTCCCTGGCCAGTTCCCAGATTAAGAGGAACATCCTGCACTGCACACACCTGCTGCTTGGCAGCTCCAGACAGCACAGCCCATGGTGATGCTTCGGCCCCTGCATCCCAGCCTGGCACAGCCATGCAGCCCAGGGGTCCGTAACATCACTGCCTGGAGACGTCTGGGGCAGCTGCTGGCGTGGCCACCTTCTGTACAACCCCCTGCTCATGCCCAACGGCCAGGGGGTCTTGGGTCCAGCTGAGGCCCGTGGCTGCAGCAGCATCACGAGGTGTCCTGGGGCAGCTGAGCTTCTAAGATGGCTCCAGAGCTCAGAAGGCCTAGATCAAGTTGTGGACGAGGGTCCACGCAGGCCTCTCCAGCTTCCGGCAGCTGCTGGTACCTTCTGGTAGCTTCCAGTGACTGCTGGTCATTTCTGGTGGCTGCTGCTGCCCAGCTCTCCTTGGCTTGTACCCCCACCAGGTTGCTCTGTTGGGAAAAGTGGTGTCTCCCTCCTGTCAATTTTGTAAAACAAAAAACCCCAAAGACTGTTGAGCATGCGTGCAACGTGCGATCATTCCAGCCGTGAACGTGTGGGGAGTTTTCTCGCGGTGGCACAGTTTATGACTCTGTAACTTTTCCATCTCCCAGTGTGATATGCTGAGGTCTGTCCACATTGATACACACATGTACACGGCACTCAGGTATGTTTGGCTCTCGTCCAGCTGTCACTTCTCATGCTGATGGACACGTGGACTGCCCCGAGTTACTGCGCCAGCCACCTGCAGCCCCCTCCTAAGACGTGTGGAGTGGGCTGCAGCAGCTTGCCGAGCTGCTCTCCAAAGGGACATGCCCATTTGCAGCTCGCCACAGGCACACATGGCTGCACCCACTCCTCAGCATTTTTGCTGTTCCTGGCCACAGGCCCCAGCATTTCAAGTATTGTCTTTTTCATGCGGTCACTGGGAATGCCCACCGTGCACTTGTCCCCACAAGAAGGAAAGCAGTGATGACTGTATCAGCACCAACTTTCCCCCTTCCAGCTGCCTCCACCCGCTGCGGGTGGGCCCTGGCCCCTAGAGGGTCCCCAGAGGGGCACCATGGGCCTCCACCCGCCAGGGGTGGACCCCGGCCCCCAGAGGGTCCCCAGAGGGGCGCCACGGGCCTCCGCCCGCTGGGGGTGGACCCCGGCCCCTAGAGCGTCCCCAGAGGGGCGCCATGGGCCTCCACCCACTGGGGGTGGACCCCGGCCCCCAGAGGGTCCCCAGAGGGGTGCCACGGGCCTCTGCCCCTGCCCAGCATTCCATCTGAGTCCATTCCTAGGGCTCCTGAGCAGGGCACTTTGCAGTCACTGCCCAAGTTCTCACACTCGGAGCCTGTGGTCTCAGCTGGCCTCTGGAGGGGGAAGGAAAGGGCCGCGTGCAGAAAACACCCAGCATGGGGCTAGGGGTGCTTTGTCACTGCCCAGTTGCACCAGAGTCCATTAGGACTCCCCCAAGGACTGTGTGAACCCCACCTCTGGGGGTCCCTAACTTTTTGCATCACAGCCATGACACGATGGGGTCTGGCTTCCAGCAGGTGCATTTGTAGCCTTGGATTCTCCCCCACGGACCGGCAGGCAGGACGTGGCCCTCTGTCATTGCTCCTGTTGGGACCTCGTCCTGCCTGGCAGGTGCACAGTACACAGGGACTTGCCTGTGGGCACTTCCTGCTGTTGCACAGGTAAGGTGGGGCAGTAGTGATGCTCTCTGCTTGCTCAGTGCAGCGATTTCCGGGTGGTAGGGGCGGAGGGCTCCAGGAGCCAGTCCTGTCCCTTGCTGGCTCCTGTGGTGACCTCCCTGACTCTCCACTTGACTTGCTAGCTTGACAGGATTTGGTCATCCATGTCAGCTCCCACACTGGGTAGGCTGTCTGCTCTCTGTCACTGCTGCCAGTGCAGGTTGGCAGGATTCACTCTGGGTGCCCTGGGCTTCTCACTCATGGCCACGCCACTTCCCACACTCGATGGCTGTCACCACATTCCGGCTGTGGCTCTGATACAGGGGACAATGACATGACTTTCACTCTTGGAAACAGCAGCGGTCATCAATAACGCCCCCAGACCACGTTCCCCGGGCGTGGGGGTGCCACAGCCCTTCATGCATGATGCAGGAGGCTGCCCAAGGCCATTGTTCGTCCTGGGGCTCCTCAAGGGGCGCTTTGAAGAGCGCCATCATTTTTTATTATCTCCCCAGTAACTGCGGCCATGCTGGGGTTGCTCTGAGCCATGCATGCACAGACGGCACCCCAGGGAGCTGCAGTGGCCCTTCTGGGGGGCACTGGCTGCTGACAGAACCCAGATAGGGCTGCTCGTGGAGGCCCCCTTACCCCAGCAAGCCTGGGCTGGACTCTCCATGCCCGGCTCCCAGTCAAAGTTGGAGGCTTGTGTTGAAAAAGACAAGAAGATGGCTTTGTTGCCGAATAGAAAAGCAAGGAAATGATGACCAGGTTTTGGGGGCACGGGGAATCTGCAAGCGTGTGTGCCTGACGGTTCACAGTGATGACAATGCCGGGTGGAGAAGAAAACCGGACCAAAGCGAGAGGGTCGGAGGAGCAGAACAATCGGTGGGCAACACTGACGCTAGCGGGCTGTGAAGGCTGGCCCCACACCCAGGGAGGGCCTGGGCATGCGGTGGGCCCCCAGCCGGCTGAGCCCTTCCCTGCAGGAAACCTTCTCAGGCAGAAGCTGCTGTGGCATGGCCACCTGTGGGCTCCAGGGGCATCGACAACCAGGTGCACCGGCCGAGCCTCATGGAGCTGAGCCCGTGGGTGGCCACTTGGGAAGATACCACACCACCCAGAAAAATCCCCAGCAGGATTTGTGGTGGTAGCAGACCTGTCTCCTGCAGCCACACCTTCGGCGTTGTGTTCAGACGGGCAGAGGCGCAGGAGGCTGCCCTCGCTTGCAGTGACACCCAACCAGCTTCTTGCAGCTTCACGGGACAAGCAGTGGAAACCCCACTGTACAGGTGCAAAGACCGAGGCCCAGGTCTCCATCTCTGGCTCTCCGGGGGTGGGAGAACAAGCTGAAGGTCCAGCTCTGCCTCTCAGCAGCTGTCACTGCTCATGTGTGCACCAGGAACGGCCCACCAGCCCCGTCCGCACAGGAGAAGTGATTTCCAGCTGGTGGGATTAACCAGCCCCTGCCTGGGGAAGAGGGGTGAAGCCAGTGTGTCCCTGTCCCCACGTCTGGTTAACCGAGACCCTGAGCTAGGCACTGTCCTGGTGGTTCCTGTGGTGTTTGAGTGCCACAGACTGGGTGCCTCATGATGGCCATGGGTGGACCCAGCTCGCAGTTCTGGGGGCGCCGGCCATGGCCACAGCATTTGCTCTGTCCTTGGCAGCATCCCAGGGTGAGATGGGACAAGGGTGCCAGTTCTGCCCTCACAACCTCATCCCCTCCTCGTTTGCGCCTGGTCCAAGCACCACTGACAGTGACTCGGGGAATTCAGTTTCCAACACGTGCGTCCCCGGGGATACGGCCCTGCCCGCAGCCATGCCCGCCCCCAGCCGTCCGGCAGGAGGGCTGCGAGACCCCCAGAACAGCCTTGTCGGTCCACAGCCCCACGGACAAGCCCCCCAAATGGCCCCCACGCCTCTGCAGTGGCCCACCAACCCAGGTTTGTGAACAACACCAAGTGAGACCCAGCAAGACCCAGGCCGAGTTTTTTTTTTTTTAAGATTTATTTATTTATTGGACAGTCAGATATACAGAGAGGAGAAGAGACAGAGAGGAAGATCTTCCGTCTGATGATTCACACCCCAAGTGAGCGCAACGGCCGATGCTATGCCGATCCGAAGCCAGGATCCAGGAACTTCTTCCAGGTCTCCCACAGGAGTGCAGGGTTCCAAAGCTTTGGGCCGTCCTGGACTGCTTTCCCAGGCCACAAGCAGGGAGCTGGGTGGGAGGCGGGGCCACCGGGATTAGAACCGGAGCCCATATGGGATCCTGGTGCGTTCAAGGCGAGGACTTTAGCCACTAGGCCACACTGCCGGGCCCCCAGGCCAAGTCTTTTAAGAGTCGTCCTGTTTGTAGCTCAGGAGCAACGGGGCTGGCCCAGAAGTCAGAGGCCTGTAGTCCATTTAATGCCAAGTTCATACACAGCGAGGGCTCAATATCCAGACCTCGTGAAGACTTCTCACCACGCAGGAGGTCTCCCAGCTGCCATCAAGGGACGCGGTGGAAGGACAGGCGTGGCAAGCCCCGTGGCACATCCACCAGCCAGGAGCTGATGGCCCGGCTCACCGGTGGGCTCCCCGGAGCGGGGCTCCCCGGGGCTGGGCTCCCCGGAGCGGGGCTCCCCGGGGCTGGGCTCCCCGGAGCGGGGCTCCCCGGGGCTGGGCTCCCCAGGTTCGGCCGAGGCGGGGAACAAGGTTTCGTAGTACTCAATGAGCAGCTCGGTGAACAGGTTGAGGGGTACCAGCGCGCCCAGTGAGGACGCCCCCTGGGACGGCCAGATGAGGTTCAGGCCAAAGACGCAGGCCAGGCTGGAGCTGTTCATCTTGTTGAAAAGGCTCTCCCGGGACACCTGCAAGAGGTCACACGTGGCCGGGGACAGGGACCGCTCGCTGAACCCAGGGAGGGACTGTACCGTGATGGCGCCAGTCGAGGGCCACGAGCAGGTGACAGGCCAGCCACCTCCAGCCTGGCAGGGGCTCGGTTACCCCACCCACCAGAGGGAGGGACTGGCCTCCATGGGGGGGCTCAGAGAACTTCAGTCCCCCCCTCAACGCCCCGCCCGGTGAGCCAGTCAACCCTCCGCCCACCCACCAGCCAGCAGGGGCCACGCAGCAGGTACAAGGCTGGCCCTGTCCAGTGGGGTTCCCCAACAGTCTGCCTAGGCATGCCTCTGCTGCAACGCCCTGCAAACCCAGGGCGGCTGGGAACGCGGCCTCGGGGGCCACTCACCTCGTGCAGGAAGCCTGTGAGGAAGCAGAGCACGGCGTGGTTGTGCTGGGGCAGACCCTGCAGGATCTGGCGGCAGCGGTTCACACGCAGGCTGCTCTCCACGTCTGCAACGGCACACGAGGACCCGTCTTTAGCCGGGGGCGCCCCAGGAGGGTGAGGGCAGCTCAGAGGCTGAGCCGGCCCGCGCACGGGCAGGCCCCGAGGCCCCATGTCCATCCTCCCCTGCTTCGCTAGACATGAAGTTTTCTCAGAAGACAGCCATGGCCGCTCAGCAGCAACACCGCGCGTGGCAGCACCTGTGAACTTGGGCAGCCAGGCCAGCAGGGGCTTGTGAGGGACGGCCTGCCGGCCTGCCTGGCTCACTGTCCTGCCTGGCAGTGGCAGCAGGCCGAGTGTGGGCAGCGGCGGGGGTCGGCGTCAGGGTCTGGCCCTCCCAGGGCAGGCACGTACTGGTGATGTCCAGGATCTGCTCATAGGCCTCAAAGGTGAGCAGCGGCTGTGGCAGCTCCCGGAGAAAGGTCTTCAGGATCACAGCGGGGACGTGGATGTCCCCGTAGTCATCAAAGTTCACCGGCTTCCCTGCACACGACACGGCTGGCTGTGGCCTGGGCTCCGCTTCCCGGCAGGAGGGGCCTGAGGCTGCAGCTTCGCACGCCCCACCTCCCGCACGACGCCCCGCTGTTGGGTTCGTGGTGGCGTTTTGCTCCAGACCAGGATGGGATGAACTGACAAGGGTCAGCTGGGGGCTGCTGTTGTGGGGGGAGGATGCTGTCACACACAGGGCCGGGAGGGGCTGGGCTGGCCCGCCGTGGCCTCGTGTGTCATGATGGACAAGGCAGTGAATGGAAGCAGAGCAGTGAGAGAGGCCTCTGCTATCCAGTTGCGCTGCTTCCTGCCTCAACATAGTGCTACGTGTAGGCAGCTAAGGGGGAGGCACTGGGAAGGCTGCAAAGAGCCACTCCGTCATACCCTCATCCTGCAAAGCCATGCCTTCCTTTTGGGGTGTCTAACAGGACCACCTGTGCCACCAGCTGCATACTCATCTAGTACAAATAGAGAAACCCTGAAGACACCATGGACCCACGGGACCCTTGGGGGCACTGGGCAAAGGCCCCCCGCTCTGGACCACCCCTGGGGCTTCTGGCGGCTGCCCTGGCCCTGAGCCTGGCTTGAGGGAGCTGGGACGTGGCGGGGCACTGTGCTGCCCCCAGAGAGGGGGCCTGGGGACTGGACTCATGGCCACACTCACCCTGGTTGTAGAGCCGCTGTACCTCGCGCACGGTCTGAACACAGGCCGATCTCCGGAAGAGGCCTTCAGCGCGGAGTCCTGCAGGCAGAGGAACCCCTGGGTATGTCCTGCCCACTGGGCTTCCAGAACATCCTTGCCATGGCATCACCCCCTGTGGCTGGCAAGGAAGGCTCCCCAGGCTGGCTCTGATGCCCCTCTTGTGGGCATCAGTGTCAGACCCGGCTTGCAGTCCTCCCAGCTCTGTGGCCTCAGAGGCCTCGTCTCTGGTCTGCAGGCGCCTGCCAAGGCGGCACCCCCATGGAGGACTGGGCTGGGCTGCCCCCAGCTGCCGCCAGTGACTGCAGCTGGAACTCAAAGACATCAACCGACAGTCACTCAGCCTCATGAGGCACACCGTCATGCCCTCTGGGCCATCGTCACGGGCACCGTTTGGGGCAGCACAGGTCCAGACCACAGCCTCGGGCGTCTTGGAGAGGTCACAGGGTCACCCCTCAGACCAAGGCAGGGACAAACACACAAAGAGCCAGGTCACTGGCCTGTGGCCATGCAACCAGCCAGCGGGGCCAGGATGCAAAGCAATGCCCAAGCCCACATCTCCCTCGTCGCCTCCTGCCCAGGACAGGTGCCATTCCGCCCACGCCCTCCCTCCAGGGAGGCACAGTGCCGGCTGCTCCACCTTTTTCTCTCAGGTACTCCACCGTGGATCTCAGCACAGGCGGGATGAGGTCACCGTGGTTTTTGTCTTTGAGGCTGAGGAGAGAGGAGAGGAAGCAACTGTGTTCCCTGCGGGAATCAAGAACCACGCAGCTGGGCGGCTGCCCCGGAGGGAGACACAGCTGGGACGCCTGGGGCTGTCAAGGAGGGCACCAAGGGACACGCCCTGGCAGTGTCTGAGGACTCCACAGGAGTGGCACGTGACATGGGGAGGGCCGAGTGAGACGGCCCTCCACGCAGACATGGGAGGGCAGAGCCAGCGCTGGACGCCGACTCCACGAAGGAGCGCAGGGGAGGGAAGGGGCTGTGGCCGCTGGGACCAGGGCTGAGTCCCCCGCACCAGCACGGGGTGGGGATCGGGGGATGTCTCTCTCCAGGATCACCCTTCAACTAAATCAATCTTTTACAAAGTGCTATTGGGACGCAGGCTTGCTGAAGCTGAGCTGCAGAGGCGCCCTGGTAAAATCTCAGCTGTAGGGAAGTTCAGGGCCTGAAAGAACCAAGTTGGAGAACGCACACTTCCTGGTGTCGGACACTTCAGAACAGTCACCAAGGTCCCGTGGCTCTGGCCTGGGGACAGAAGTGAACGAGCCAGGGGACACTGCAGGGACCGGAAGCAAACCCTCCCGGCCTGGCCGCCGGGCTTGCAGGAAGCTGTCTTTCCAGCAGAAGGTGCTGCAACAATGAAGGGTGAAGGAAACCTCACGGCCCTGCACCTCGCGCAGGCCAGCAAACCCCAGAAGGAAGCCCAGCACACACCACCCTGCACAAGGCAACACAACACAGTCCAGCGAGAATGTCTGTGTCTCAGATGATCCTGCAGGAGCAGAGCCCAGGAGCAGAGTCCCCCGGACCCCCACGGGCCTGTCTCTGCTCCCCTCACTCTCCCACGGACAGGGGCTGCGACACGTGTCTCTTGCAGCAGTGGCTCCATGGCTGCCCACGTCCACGTGACTCCAGTCAGCACGGAAGGCCTCCAGGAGGAGGGAGCGAGTGCAGTGAAACACAGGCCTGGCACGGCAGGACCAGCTCCTGTCCAGGCTCTGGGGCTCTGCTGGCGGAGGGGGCAGAACCAAAGAAAGAATCCAGGATGAGCTAGCCCAGCTCGGAGCCAGAGCGCCACGCGCCCGGCCTCCCTCCCCACCCTGCCAGCACCCTCCTTATCCAGGCACCGGCGCACACGCCCATCCCTCCCAGATCTGGGCCTTCCCCTTAATGCAGGAACTTAATGAGCTGGTTCTGAGGCAGAAGCTTTCTGTGGCATGCCTTTGTACTTGAGGCAGCAAGCCTGTGTCTACGAACAGGACCAGTTATGAATTTTAATGGCTCTCATTCATTCCCAGTCCAAACAAATTATACATCAGGGGCTTTCTTCAACACGCTCACTGCCATTATATCACAGTCGTGGGCGATGGAACAGTATGGAATATTCATGGACCGCGGTACTTGTGCAGATAACTGCTCCCGGCTGGCCAGTGCCGCTCAGGCGTCCTAAACACACTGGGGCTGCTCCCGCCTCCACAGCTGGCCCCAGGACAGCGAGGGGTCACTGCCAGGCGATGCTGATGTCCCAGGAAGGCCGAGCGACAAGTCGCCCTGCCTGGCCCACCCTGAGTGGTGCCATACCTCCAGGAGCCTTACTCACCACAGCTGCCTCGGCTCAGCTTGGCCAGCAGAGGCCACAGTCAGGGGACAGGTCCTGAGCAGGCACACAGGGCAGGGGGAGGGGCATTCCCGAGGGAGGCTCACTTACTATTGCAGACTAACCCCGAACTGCTGTGTGGGCAGCGGCGGCCGCGGCGGCGGCGTCTTGGCTGCAGGGAGCGGCTGGCCCCTGTGCAGGCTCCGAAGGTGCTGGTCGTACCTGCAGACACGGGAAAGCCCGCTCTCAGGCCGTGGCCAGGTGCCGGGGTGGGTGGGAGGAGCCCCAGACTCCAAGGACAGACGTCTCCTCCTCAGGGGCACGGCCACATGGCAGTCATGTGTGCACGCGCACACACACACACACGTGGGCACATGCTTGTGAGCACGCATGCATGCATACATGCACATCCAGTCCTTGTAGTTCTGCAATGCCATGCATCCTCACATGAACGGCCAGACAGGTGGTCCAGGCCCACCGTGGTCAGCCTCTCCAGCAGCCCCTGGCTTGGATGGTCTCATCCCAGGCAGCCAGGAGCTTGGTGCAGCCAAGGCTAGCTCCTGGGCTGTGGACTTCCGATGAGGTTGGCACCCGGCACAAAAGAGCTGGTCTCTTCTCGGCTTGCCTTGGGCAGTATGTCACGTGTTCCTGACGTGCTCTGTCCATCCACCCTCCCTCTCTCCCTTCCTGGTCCCTAGGTGTGTCACCCTGGGGTCGTGGGTGGGGGACGGGGAGACCGTGTTGGCCAGCAGCACAGGAGCTGAGCAGGGGCAGCACAGGAGCTGAGCAGGGGCAGCTGGGAGCTGCCGGAAGTGGCCTGGGAGGCTGGGCTCTGTGGCTGCTGTGGCCACAATAGCTGGTGGTGAGCTCACCACAGCTTCCTCAGGCCAGTCGCCCTCATCACGGCCAACAGTGCAGGGCTGTTCCCCCTTGACAGATGGGGAAACTGAGGCATGGTGGAGTATATGCAGGTCACAGGCTGGGGCTCAGCCTGGAGGGCCCACGGCTTCAAACCTACCCTTGCCCTAGCCTACAGGCCTCATGGCACCACACAGGCGGGGATAATCCATGGACTTGGACCTCCATCAGGGCTCCACGTGTCCCACCCCCACTCCAGACCACATTTGCCCTACACCTGCACCCTGCACGCCATGGGCTGCTGCAATGTCTCCCAGCCTCCTGCCTCCCGTCTCCCTTCCCATGCAGGAAGCTGGGCGCGTCCCCTTCTCTGAATCTCATCAGCTCAGCTGCTGAGCTGCGACTGGTCCAGCTTGGGGACCACACCGGGGGCCTCCGCACGGCAGCCTGGGGGCAGGAGTGTTGCTAAAGTCCACAGCTGACCAAGGCACCTCTGGCCACTCCCTCCACCCTGGCCTCCACGTCCAGCTTGCACTTCCCCTCCTTTTAGGACGACCCCAACCTCGACCCCGGCCCCTCCTACCAGCCTGGGAGTGTCCTGGAGGGGGGCGCGTTTGCATTCCCAACACCCCTGCATAGGTGAACACCCGGAGGCAGCCTACTCTCCCCTCCCTTCCACATTGCAAGGCCGCTGACTCCATCGGAGAAGCAAGGGGCAGAGGGACGCCAGCGCCTGCATCAACAGACACGGCTGGACTTGGGCCGCCTCACCCGCCATGGTCAGGGCTGCCCTCTGCAGAGCCCACACTCGGACCTTCCACTCCGAGCCTGCTGCTCTGCTGCAGCGACCCAGCGAGATGAGACTCACCGGACAACCTCCGGTGGGATGGGCAGCTGCTCGCACGCCAGGTGTTCCCGCAGCTCACTCAGGTAGTTGAAGTAGGTGATCTTTTTCCCAAACTTGTGACTGAGGACACAGAGGCCAGAGAATTAAAACCACTGGGGCAGGTAGAGGCCTGGGGGAAGAACTGTGTGGCTACTCAGCCAGGATGCAGCAGAGGCAGCATCTGCCTGCGGACTGGGGCGCCATCTCCAATCCAGCCAGGCTGAGTGAGCAGAGACGCAGGGAGCAGTGGCAGTGGCAGTGCAGCGATGGGTACCAGGGTAGGCTGGCAGGCTGGGTAGGCCTCTCTATGGCATCACGGGGTTTCTGGGAGAAGTGGGGGCAGGGGTGGCTCCCCATCGGGTCCTCTGGGGCTGCTATCTCGGGGTAGGCAGGGAGTAGCCAGGTGTGGGTGCAGCTCCCACGTCAGACAGGCCCTGGGCGAATCCCATGATTCCACTTCTCCTGGTGCCTCCGCGGGGCAGGAAGAGCGAGGGCTCTGTGCCTGTCAGCCGAGCCCCAGCCACGCTTCGGTCATGACAGAGGCCGACAGAGGCTGGCAGCGGCCACAGTCTGCGGTTTCAGCATGCCGGCTCTCATCTGCCATAAATGCATCATTCTGGACAATCTGATGTTCTCTAACAACCTATTTCCTTGCTGTCCCAATCCCCATAGGAGTGTGGTTTAAAAAAATGAGTTTCTAGCAAAGTTAGGATTTCAGCAAAACCAAGCCTCTGGTGCTCCCTGAGCCACACTTTGCAGGCTGTGAAGTGGGCACGCTGTGGCTCGCTGTGGTTCATGCTGAGGTTTAAACCACACAAGCCACGTGGCTGAAACCAGCCGGGGAGTTCCTCATGGGAGGATGGGCCGGGGCAGCAGAAGAGAAAGCCCAGCGGTAGACCCCCCTTTCCTGGACAGGACCTCAAGTTGCTGCCCAGAGCCCCCACCCCAGAGAGGAAGGGCCGCACGCACTGCGCCTCCTAGTGGACAAGGGAGCACTGGCCCTCCGCTTGCAGATCCCCAGCCCCCACCAAGACCTGGGGCTACAGAGGAGCCCCGGGCTTTGGCCTTCACTGGAATGGCAAGGAACTGGCCTGGTTCCTGCAACCAGGGTCCCAGGGGAGGGGTTGGGGTCACTGCCAGCTCAGGGACAGTGGCTGTGAAGGCATGGATGGCAGGAGTCCATCCAGGGCACCCTAGGTGCCCCCACCTGCCTCTATGTACCTGCCCAGTACCCTCCTGTGTGCCAGGCACCTGCTGGACCTGGGCTCTGTGGGCAGATGCAGGCATGGCCTTGCCACTCGCCTTTCACTCTGCGAGGGCCTAGGGGCCAGCTCGTCCAGAGGACAACTTTAGGGTCAGAGGAGTCATGTGGCCACCCGAGGTCACACAGCCAACAGGCAGCACGGTCCAGTCCAGGCTCCAGCACCACTGGAGACTGAAGGCAGGCAACATTCAACGTGGACGCTGGCTTCAGTCCTGGGAGCTATACGTCTAATCCGGCTCCCTGCTAATGCAGCAGGTGGCCCAGGTGCTTGGGCCTTGCCACCACATGGGGGATTCCGATGGAACACCGACTCCTGTCTTCAGCTTGGCCCAGCCCAGGCCGTTGCAGCCTTTTGGGGTGTGAATCAGAAAATGAAATCTTTCTCTCCTATAATTCTGCTTTTTCTTCTCTTTATTTTTTAATATTTATTTATTTTTATTGGAAAGGCAGATTTATAGAGAGAAGGAAAAAGATCTTCTATCGGCTGGTTCACTCCCCAACTGGCCGCAATGGCCAGAGCTGAGCCAATCCAAAGCCAGGAGCCAGGAGCCTCTTCCAGGTCTCCCACGCGGGTGCAGGGTCCCAAGGCTTTGGGCCGTCCTCGACTGCTTTCCCAGGCCGGGTGGGAAGTGGAGCAGCCGGGATTAGAACCAGTGCCCAATTTGGGCTGCCAGCATCTCAGGTAGCAGCTTAACACATCGCACCATGACACCGGCCCCAACTTGCTCTTCTTGCCTTCATAGGGCTGTTGTCGGTGCCTGGCACACAAGATGCCTACAATCTTATAATTAATCATAAAGAGATGATGCGAAATGCCTAACACACGAGTAGTGAACAGTGAGCACCTGCTACTACTGCTACGGTTCCCCGCGTGGACGTAGGCTGAGAACTACCTAACAGATGGACAGACAGCACTGTCGGCCACAGGGGGAAGCTGAGGCAGAGTCGTCATGGATGGGAAAGGGGCAGGGCTCCGGGCTGGGCTGCAGCAGGGCAGAGCAGAGCAGGGCTGGGCTGCAGCAGGGCAGGACAGGGCAGGGCTGGGCTGCAGCAGGGCAGGGCAGGGCAGGGCTGGGCTGCAGCAGGGCAGGGCTGGGCTGCAGCAGGGCAGGGCTGGGCTGCAGCAGGGCAGGGCAGAGCAGGGCAGGGCTGAGCTGCAGCAGGGCAGGGCTGGGCTGCAGCAGGGCAGAGCAGGGCAGGGCTGGGCTGCAGCAGGGCAGGGCAGAGCAGGGCTGGGTTGCAGCAGGGCAGGACAGGACAGGGCTGGGCTGGGCTGCAGCAGGGCAGGGCAGGGCAGGGCTGGGCTGCAGCAGGGCAGGGCAGAGCAGGGCTGGGCTGCAGCAGGGCAGGGCAGGGCAGGGCAGGGCTGGGTTGCAGCAGGGCAGGGCAGGGCAGGGCAGAGCATGGCTGGGCTGGGCTGCAGCAGGGCAGGGCAGGACAGGGCAGGGCTGGGCTGCAGCAGGGCAGGGCAGGGCAGGGCAGGGCTGGGCTGCAGAGGGCATGCACAGGTCAACATGATGCTAGGTTTCCTAGGCGACAGCACACACAGACAGAAGAGTGGACCAAGATGGTAGGGGAGGAGGGACCAGCCACCCAGCCACGGCTGTTTCCTGCGACATGAGCCCGGAGCCAGCCAACAGACAAAGGCTCCACCCCCAGCAAGCCCCGCCTACCTGATGAAGGGCTTGAAGAAGCCCCACAGCACTTTGATGAAGTTGGTGGGATGCACCACGTACAGAGCCTTTAGGTTCTTTCTGTACCTGGGGAGGACGGGAGGAGGGCTTCAGGTGCGCAGCCATAACCCCACCCTCTGAGGAGCCTGAGGGGCTGTGACACCCCAAAGCAGCAGGTGCACCTGCCGTCAGGTTTCCACTGACAGCAGGCGGGGCTCCTCAGAGGAGGTCGGGCGTGAGCCCCGAGCATCACCAGGACCGGGCGCAGTGTGCTCAGGCTGGCACGGGCTGCCTCGTGGAGGAACTGGGCCATCTGAATACACCATGGCAGGAATGGATTTTAAGCCAGAGATGGTGGCTGAAGCGACAGAGGGAACTGAGGTGAGTTCTCTGAAAGCTGCTGCATGCTGGGGGCGGGGCTGGCAGTGCAGTCACAGGGCAGCGGCCCTGGTCACAGGCAGGGCACACGCTCCAGAAAGGCGGCCGCAAACACCTGCGTGTGAACAGGGTCCACCTTAAAAGCAGCGGCACATGGGGAGGGGGCTGAGGTTTGTGTGACACCCACATCCCAACAGGAGTGCCTGAGCTGGCGTCCTGCCTCAGCATCCAGCCGCTGTACACGCTGGCAGGCGACGGCTCAGGTAACCAGGGCCCCACCACCCACGCTGGTGTCCTGCTCATTGGCCTGGCCCAGCAACGGCTGCTTTAGACCTCGGGGAGTGAGCCGGGAGATGGAAGCTCTGCCTCCGTGCGTTTCAAATGACATGAAAAAGAAACCCAGGAATGTTCAGTAGGAGCCAACAGCAGCGAGGCAAGGTGCCTGACGGTAGAGAAGCTACTGGATCCAGCCACAGCCACGGACTGGAGCGTGACACGGAGGGTACGGCCCTGCCACACACCAGCTGAGCGACTACAGCTGGGACTGCCCACCTCACCAGCACTGGCACGGCTGCCCACTTTGAGGCCAGGGCCGGGGGTGCAACCCCGTTCCCAGTTGGCACCCAGTTCAGTGTGGGAAGGGGATGTGTGCCAGCTACACCTGCTGCCTGCGATGGGCAGCCCATTGCCAACAAGAGTTTTTGCCCGTGGTCTGGGAAATTCACACGAGGGTTCTCCTGGAACATGAGCCCCCTTTCTGTGTGCGCTGTCCACGGCCACCTGTCACAGCCGGATGCCCTGGATGCCACAGCTGGACACGGCCACTGGCTCTGAAGCAGGGGACCGTCTCACTTCCTGTGTCTCTGTGATCTGCCGCAGCATGGGGCCACCCGCCCGCCCGCCCGCCCGCCCGGGAGGCTCACGGCACGTACTTCCTGTCGAACTCCTTGTACGCGCTCTGCAGCCAGCTGAGGGAAGGCTTGTTCTGGCTGTTGAGGCCGTAGTGGAAGTAGACAAGGGTGTAGTCACTCTCCACATACTGGTCCAGCGTGTACTTGAGGTATCTGGGCAGGCAGCATGAGAGCCAGGCATGAGAGGCACCTGCGAATGGTTGGAAGCCCGCCTACCTCCCCCACTCCCACATGGAAGCTGCAGCCTGGGAGGGATGGCTCCACCCCAAGACCCAGGTGTGGCGGGGCACTCACTCCAGGAGCCGCTGGTGGTTGAGCTGGTGTGATGGGGGCATCCGGCAGCAGCTGAAGGTGACCACGCATCTCCCGAAGCGGTCGTCTCCTGGGAGGTGGGGGTGATGGGCGTGAGCCTCGGGACCACCCCGGCTTGGGAGACCCTCAAGCTTCCTGCACCCGCCTACGTTGGCTAGGGGGTGCGATGGCCAAGGGGACAGCAGCTGGGAGCCTGGGATAGCCTCCCGCTTACAGCTCCCAGGAAGAGCCAACACTGCTGCCCCCATGACTGCTGACCTCTGCCCCCGGGGCTGTGACACAGGAACGTCCATGGCCTGGACATTCACCTGGTGACCAGAGCCCCGGACCCCAGCTCAGACAGGCTGTACCCCACTGCCCTGCGGCTCCCTGCCCTCTCCAGTGGCCTGCAGGCCCCACTGGGCAGTTTCCCAGGCTGCCCCTCGTCCTCCCGCTGCCCATGCCTGACCCAGGGAGGGTACCTGGATCCAGAGGCAGGCACAGCCTCCTGCTCTTGCGGGCTTCCAGTCCACAGAGACTGGGACCCAGAGCAAGATGTGTGGCAAGGGAATCCGACCAGTCCTGAAGATGAACAGTGTTTTCTAGCAAGTTCCTCACCCTGGCCGTCAGGTCCACAGTGGGCCTGTGCCCTCCCATGGGACAAAGAGTGGCTTTCCTCAAGGCAGCAGTGCAGGTGCTGTGTGAGATGCCCACGGCACTGCCATTCCCACAGCCCGGGGCCTGGCTGCGGCTCCAGCGCGCTGGGAGGCAGCAGCTGTGTCTGAGTACCCAAGGGGTGGAGTTTCAACATGCCTGCTTCCACCTGGCCCAGCCCTCGCTGTTGTGGGCATTTGGGGAGTGAACCAGCAGGTGGAAGGTCTCTCTCAAACTATAAACACGTAAACTCACTGCCTCTTTAAACAAACAAACGAGTGTCCTTTCCAGCCTGCCGCAGGCTGACTGCGAGCATCTTGGGCACTGTGCTAACTGGACCGACGCAAGGTCACTCACCAAGTGTCCCCACAGGAAGTGCACCAGGCCCAGGTCTGGAGGGAGCGGCACAGCGAGAGGCAGATCTGAGCCCAGCCCTATACTGCTGTGGCCTAAGGAGCTCATTAGTAATCCTTGGGCTGGGCAGGAACAGGAACTGGGCTTGTAGCTAAAAGCACCTAGACTAATCGGACTCATCTGTACCCAATTTCCTGGCTAAATTGGGGGCGTGTGGAGGGAGTATATAAGGAGAGGTGAAGGGACAATAGAGACTTCGCAGAGACTTCCACCATCACCGGTCTCCATCACTGGTGCTTCATCCCCAGACCCTCTCTCTGTCCATGTTACTGGCTCTGCTGGTCGGAGCACTGTCCACCCCTCCCAGAACCCGGGGGAGCCCCTGCAGCCACAGCCACTTCTGCAACCCACAGCCACCACACTTGGCATCAAAGGACTCCTGATTCTGACCAGTTGGCAACAAAGGGGATTCCATTGCTCCATCGGGTGTGACAAGGATGGTTCATAGGAGTTAGGAATGCGAATGGCAGGGGGTCAGGGTCCTGCTGGGGGCCTGGGAAGGCAGCGAAGGATAGGCCTTGGACCCCTGTATCCACATGAGAGACTTGGAAGAAGCTCCTGGCTCCTGGCTTCTGATCAGCCATACTTGGCTATTTCAGCCATCTGGGTTTCTAAGCTGTGTCACCCACAGGTCTACAGTTCAATTTTACTTATTTCAGTTGGTACACAACTCTTTGCTTGCAGCCAATTGTGCCCCTCCAGCGTGTTCCAGGTCTGGGTTTGTATGTTAGATTTCCGCCAAAAACTTGAAATAGAGAGAAAGAGAGAGAGAAAGATCTTCCATCCACCGGTTCACTCCCCAAATGGCTGCAATGGCCATAGCTGAGCTGATCCCAAACCAGGAACCAGCCTGTCGGTCTCCGATACAGGTGAAGGATCCCAAGGCTTTGGGCTGTCCTCGACTGCTTTCCCAGGCCATGGGTAGGGAGCTGGGAACGAAGTGGAGCAGCCAGAACACAAACTGGTACCCATATGGGATCCCGGCACTTGAATATGAGTATTTAGCCATTGAACCGTGGTTCTAGGCCCAAATAAAAACTTCTGAAAAAAAAATTCTGGAGCCTGGCATGGCCAAGTGGCTAAAAAGTCCTCGCCTTACACACCTGGGATCCCATATGGGCACTGGTTTGTATCCCGGACACTTCAGTTCCTTTCCAGCTCCCTGCTTGTGACCTGGGAAAGCAGTCAAGGATGGCCCAAAGCCTTGGAAACTTGCACTCGCATGAGAGACCCGGAAGAAGCTCCTGGCTCCTGGGTTTGGATTGGTCAGCTCTGGCCATGTCTCGCATGTGGGCAGCGGGGGCTCGAACACATGAGCCAGCCTCCATCACCTCCCAGGTGCGCTAGCAGGGAGCTAGACTGGAAGTGGAGCAGCTGGGCTTGAACTAGCCCTCCGAGATGGGATGTGGGATCCTAAGTGGGGGGGATCTAATCTGCTGCAACACATGTTGCCTTCTTCCTTCCGTGGCTCTGTGCCCCCCACACGTGGCCCAGCATCCCCTTTCCACCGAAGCCCTCCGTTTTCCTCTGTGTGGCTTCATCGCTGGTGCACCTGCTGTGCTGGAATCTTCACTACACTCTAAGAACCACGCCTCTTCCATTCCATCAAAACGACTCCAGAAGGAGGCAGCAGCTGATGAACAAACAGCTTGGAGCAGGGACAGAGGGGAGTGTGGGGGTTCCTGCCTGGGGGACAGGTGCTCTGGCACGGAGGGGTCTGGCACTGCCTTCTCCGGAGAGTCCCTGCTGCACGTGGCCTGCTTTTGTTGTTCGCTTGCATTGAAAACCATCACCTGCTCTCGGCTTCTGTTCTTTGAAGAGCAGCAGGAGCCACCCCAGACATGCTCCTTGGAACATCTGGCCAGTGTCTCAAAGCAGCGGCGGCCACTCCTGCCCCCGCGGTTCCCACCCTGGGTGTGCAGCAAGCCAGGTGAGGCAGCCATGGGGACTTACCTGCCACCTGCAGGATGCCATGTCTGGCCACATCGTAGAATGGGTGGCTCATGCTCAGCGCAGGGTCCTGGCCAGCCTCCGAGGGCCGTTGAGCTACGCCCAGCATGACTGCTGCTGCCGCCACCGAGTCCCTCTGCAGCTCTGGACAGACAAGGGGGAGCGCAGGAAGGCAGGTGTCATCGCGAGCAGGAGAATGAGGGCACCTCCGGCATCCGTCAACCCGTCTCTCTGGTGCACCCTGAACGCAGGATCGCAGGGCGAGGAAGGGGAGACCCCAGCCTGGAGCACGGCTGGTCAAATCTACAGGGCTGGCTGATGGGATGGGGCTTCCGGCTGAAAGGTGTGGAGGTGAGCCTGGGAGAACTGAGTCCCCAAATGTGGAGGACTCTGCAGGGCCCGCCCAAAACGCAGCCCTCAGGGCGCGGCCGCATTGGAAAGAACTACTTGTCAAGAAGCGGTCAGACCTTACATCCAGCCCCAATCTTCCCTCTGCTGGTTCACTCCCCAAGTAGCTGCAATGGCTGGAGCTGAGCCGATCTGAAGCCAGGAGCTTCTTCCAAGTCTCTCATGTGAGTGCAGGGTCCCAAGGCTTTGGGCTGTCCTCTGCAGGGAGCTGGATGGGAACTGGAGCAGCCAGGATATGGACCAGCACCCAGAAGGAATCCCGGCACATACAAGGCGAGGACTTTAGCCACTAAGTTATCTCAGCAGGCCCTAAGATTTATTTTTATATCAAAGGCAGATATACAGGGTGAGATGAGGGGCCTTCAGGAGGTTTCAGAAAATGGCATTTAAAATTTATTTTGGTGCAATTGATTTTGAAATCCATACACAGTGTTTTACACCCCCCTGCCACCTGCATGGGTGACCTGGGATAAGTCCCTGGCTGCCAAGCTCAGCTGGCCCCATCCTGGCTGTTGTGGGCATTTGGGGGGTAAGCCAACACACTAGAGGTTCTTTTTTCTCTCTCCCTCTCCGATGAAAACGGAAACACCAAGAAAGATGCCAAGGCATGGCCTGGGGAGGCAGCAGCCAGCATGTCACAGCCCTGCCCCCGCTCGAGCACCACTAAGTCCAGCACCCCCGGCCCCACGGAGTACAAGGTCCCAGTGGGAGAGGCACAGGGCCATTGGCCAGGAAAGCAGGTAGCTGTGTGGACACCGAGTCAGACATGAGACCACGGGGACGGCTCAGCAGGAGCCTCAGCAGACCAGCAAAAGGTTCTAGAACCTGCAGCACCCTGAGACCAGGCCTCCTTCAGCTTGGCTTCCACCTGTGAGACAGGGAGCAGCGGGCCGGGGGTGCCTGCTTCAGGGCTGGCAACAAGCAGAGAGAGGTGTCCTGCTTGCAGCTCGCTGCCCCGGCATGGCTGCTCCTAGCTCTGCAGTGCAGGAATGCCTGAAGCCCTCCTCGGGGACACAGGGACACGCACCTGGCGGGGAACAGAGAGGGAGACAGGAAGACAAGGAGAGGTACGGCCCTGGGTGCTCTTGGGAAGGTCAACAGACAGAACAAACCAGAGGCCAGGGAGGTGTGGCCACCAGCTCAAGGTCAGCGGCATGTTTGCCCCGGGCTCTGAGGTTTCCTTTCCACCTCTGCTTCTGGCCTGTGACTAAGGCTCCAGCTGGGGCCCGAACCCCAGGTCGAAATGGATTCGCTCTACAGTGTGGGGCTGCAGGCTAGAGTGAGTCCTGGCAGCCGTCACACGCTGCGGGCGTGCACCCCCATCCACTAGGCTCTCCTTCCTGCTTCTCCACTAGGAGATAAAACAGCCAGGCCCTCGGCAAATGCAGGTGCTGCAGCCTTGAAATCCCGGCCTCCAGGGCCCATGCCCATGCCCTTGCCCGGCACTGCCCCTCACCCCTCCCCTCGGGTGCACATGCGTACACAGCCCAGGGGATGGCCAGGACAACCGCCCCGGAGCTCCTTGGCCAGCTCAGCCACGTCCTCCCATGTGCATCCAGCACCCTCCAGATGCCCACCCATGTGCCCCTTGGGCTGGGCTCTGCTGCCAGCCTGCGGTGTGGCTTGAGCCAAGAGTGTGCCTCCATCTGTACGGCGCAGCAAGGGCCCCGCACCATTGCTCCCTGAACATGCCAGGACGACCAGGGTGCTGCCAAGTGGGCAGCCCAGGACAGGAGAGTGGGAGGCGGACATAGGAGAGACTTGGGGGGGTGGGGGGACACCCAGGCTGACAGGTCTCACAGACCCTGAGCCCCAGACACATTTCTGTGTGTCTCACACACATAGAGACTTGAGCCCTGGTTCCTTGATGCCCAGAGTTCTGGCACATCCACCCTTTGCTGAGCCTGCTGGCGTGACGCCTATCAGCACAGCCTGCCCCACATGTGGCTCCGCCTCTCACACCAAGGACCTGCCTGCCACCTCCTAGACTACACTGCTGTGTTTTTCCACCATCACCTGACCCTGGGGGCCCTGGCTGCTGCAGGCACGGGCAGTGAAGCCAGCTGGCCAGGGCCCTGGTGTAGACAGGATCGGGTTCACCTTCCTGGCAGGTGCACAGCCAGGCACCCAGCAAGGCAGCGCAGGGCAGGGGTCCCTGGGGGGGCAGTATCTCCTCCAAGTCAGCTGTCCCCAAGCTGGGAAAATGTGTACAGCGGGCTTGGGCAAGCAAGAAAACAGCCAGGTGTCAGTACCCCTAGATGGGAAGGGGGCCGGTGGAGTTTGTGCCCCTTGGCCACCTGGCAAAGCCTGGCTGTCAGGCCCAGGGGTGACAGAGCCGCTGCCGCCTGAGGGGGTCGGCCAGGCTCATGCGATCACGGGCACCCTGTCCTCAGCGGCAAGCCCTACCTTCCCATCTCACAGCAGCCACAGGCCCGCCTCCCTCCTTATCCTCCCCAGAGCTCCTGGAGCCCCTGGACGCCCCTTTGGGGCTAGCCAGAACACGCAGCTGTTACCAAAGTCAGCTCCCATGATGACCCGTGACAGTGGCTACCTGGGAAGTGAACCAAGAGGAAGATTTTTCTCTCTGTCTCTCCTCTCTGAAACCCTGCTTTTCAAATAGAAATAAATTAAAAAAAATAAAAGCCTTACCCAGCCTCCCCAAGTGTCAATCGCTTGGCAAGGGAACTCTCCCGGCCGCAGGAACAGGTGTGCCCTGCCCAGCGCGGCCGGACTCAGGAGGTCTCTGATTCCCCGGATAGGTGAGATCGGGCCTTGGGGGAGGATGTACGCCATGGAGGGTCCAGCCCAGCCGAGGGGGACACGAACCGCAGGTGCTCATGTACCCTGTGGCTCGGGGGAAAGGCCAGCCTGCCACGTGCAAACACACAGCCCAGCCTGAGTTCCCCTCAACAGCTGGTGGCGCCAGACCAGATGCAGCCCAGGGGCCTGCTCCAAACCCACACCTGCTTCTCCCAACCCCTGCGGTCACATCACGGAGTGGGACCTCCTCCCTGCCTCCTGTCCCGGTGAGCTCCCTCCCAAAGGCCGGGGCTGCTGTGTGGCACTGCAGGGTGAACTGGCGCCTGCCCACCAAGCAACTCCACAGCAGCCAGGGACAAGGACTGGATTCAGAGACCTTGTCTGACCTCAGCAGCACAACAGTTGCCTCAGATGACTCTGGGGCTGCCCAGGAGCTGCCCTTGCTGCCACTGCCCAGTGTCACAAAAGGATGGGACCACACACCCGCCAGCCCACATTCAAAGCATGGTTGCTACTCAAGGCGGAGGCTCCAGGCGCCACTGCAGTGTTGCTGGACTGTGAAGTGGAACCTTAGACGGTCTGCTGAGGCGTCACATCATACCACAGCCCCCACCTGCAGGCCAGCTCCGCCTTGCCCACCTTGGCCAACAGAAAGCTCCAGCTACCCCACCTGCTCCTGGCGGGCTGGACACACCCCTCACAGCCCTCACCTGGTGCGAGCCGTGAGCCTGGGGGGACCCGGCTAATGTTAGCTTGGGTGCTCCCCAGCAGCTAAAAGTTTCGTGAGCACCTAACCCAGGCTCGTGGGGGCCCCCCTCAACACGCGGACACAGTGCAAACAAGCTGACCTCACAGCAAGCCTTTCTCCCTGCTCCAGTCCCCTGACCCTGCCTCTCCCTTGCCCTCCGTGCCACCCACCCCCAGCAACCCCAGTGGCCCCAGAAGCCGCCTTCCACAGAGTGGCGGATCAGAACAAGTATGCCTGCGACGTGCACAGCACGCAAGAGACGTGCCTTGCCACCCTCAGTGCTAGTATCATTCATAACCAAGCTGTTGCTGTAAAAATAAATTTGCACATTTCCCAAACAGATCCCTGCAGCAATTACGCATAGCTTTACGCTGTAGCTCAACTGAACGCCTACCTAGCTCAGGCAAGTGAGCACTAAATGGAGTGTGAGTGGGACTGCCTGCACACAAAGGGCCCGTTCCGGTGCCCCGGGCGGGGTGTCTCAAGGGCGGATCTGGAAGGGAAGGGGTGGGTCTGATGCCCTGGGTGCCTCACCACCCTCCTCTAAGAGCCACGCACAGCCGCTGCAGGTGCTGGCCGCAGGTTCCTGGGGTACACGGCGCAGGGCTCGGGGCAAGGGCCACCACACGGCTGGGATGCCGGGTGCTCTGGCAAAGCCACATACCAAGCCACCTTTGACTGGTATCCCAAACACTGCAGCTCCTCAGACTGTGTCGGTTCCCGACGTTGGCTGGAAGCTAGGATCTGGGGTGAGGCAGCCCACGGGGGCAACAGCGGAGTCCACCCAAGTCCAGGAGGCCTTGTTAGTGAGGGAGGGTGCTGTCTGACACCCTGGGGCCCCTCTGCACTCTGTGGAAGCTGCTGACACTCCCCCTGGAGTCCCAGGCCGACACGCAGGGTCCTCCCACGTGTTCGCCAGCATCCTGGGGCCCTGTCATTCGCACAGCCTCCAGATATAGGCGCTGTGCCCCCACCTCCCGGGGCCAGCTGGAGCCAGCTAACAGCCCCCCACCCAGGAGCCCCGGCCTGAGCTGTCAGCTTGCAGCCCACAGGTGTAGCTTCAATCAGGACCCAAGGTACCAGAAAGTTTGCTGGGTACTTCTGGGATGGGCTCACCAGAGTTCCAGCCTTCGGCCACCTGCAGGCTGGGTATCCAGGACAGGCAAAACACAGGAAACAGTGCTGCAGATTCAGGTCCAGCCCGGCCCGATCCTCCCTGTGCAGGGGG